ATTCATAGGATCACTAGAGGTTCGGGTGAAGAAGCACCTCCAACCCATTTGATCACATCCTTCCAGAATAGCCACCCCATCGTAATGTGCTCCCATCACAGAATCAAGCTGTTATTTCAAAATTGAGTTCAGCATCCTGGCCTCAAACCACCCCTTCTGGTAACATGTTGCAGTCCATTACCCCCTGTGAAAAGAAACACTTCTGAGTGTCTGTCCTGAAATAACTGTAAAGCCTGTTGGTAGAGGTGATTAGGAGGTGCCTGTGTTAAATTTATCAATGTTATCGCTCGCAACTGAAAAAGAAATAGGATGGCTCTTTTATATCAGGTCTGGGTGTAAATATCTAATCTGCCCCCTTCCTTTCCCAAGCTTGTACATAGACTCACTCATCTGATTAGACGTTTCTGTCGCTGTTGAATGGACTTGTGAATATGCTAATCAAGTGCAAATAGTATTTAAATAAGCTGTGCAGCTGGATGATCCTTTGAAGGAAGGGCTGATGCAGTTTTTGTGAGCAGAATGCGTTCTGGCAAACCAGTTTCTCCTACCTTAAAGTCCACACACAGCAAAAGAAAACATCAGTTTCTTAGCTGCCTAGATGAAGATCTTGATTATCTATTACGTATGATGCGTATTTTATAACACGTCCTCGGGGAAAGAGGTGCTCAAGAAGAATTTGTCAGTCTTTAGAAAAGTGTAATTTGATGTATGTATCGTCCGGGATATGTAGATACAGTATTAATGTGTCTGTTGCAAAAAAAGAGTGTATTCAACGGGTCCCAGTCCTTTCTCGATGTCCATTTGCACTGAATGGAGCAGCACTGTTTATCAGAGTACCATCCATGGCAAAGTAGGAGACAAAAAAATGCAAACCTTGTCATGTGGCAACTTGTGGTCACAAAATGTATCCTTGCACACTACAGTACATAGCGTTTCACACTGGAATAATCCCTTCTCCAAATCCCTCTTTTCTATAATCTCCATTCGCCATATTCCATTATTTCCTATAATCCCCTTCACTCAAACTCATTGTCTCCTATAATCTCCCTTTCCAATCCCTTAATGAAGTAATAAAGAGAACGCTTTAATTTATTTTACTTCCAAGAGCTGTTCATTGCAGGTCACTGCTTGGTTGAGGGTTACAGGTCTTGGAAAAAAAGGTCAGACAAAACGGAGAGCAGAAGTGAAGGCATTATTCAAATTTGTACAGTAGAAACAAACTTCTTTAAAAATTGCTCACCAGGAGCAAAATTCATATTTACCTTTCATATCTTGCATGTGTTCAGGTAGCCACAAACATCAGTGTTTTTTGTAATGATTCAGTGAGTTGTAAGGTACAGTAAGAAGAAGAATCTCTGGACCATTTAAAGTATATAGCAAACACCTCCCCCACCTCATATCTTCTCAGATCCTGATTCAGTCTTAACAGATCACAAAAGTGGTTTGGATGAAGAAGGACCTTCGGCCCACGTGATCTCATCTCTCCAGAACACCAACCCCAATGTCTCCGCATCACAGCATCAAGCTGTTTCTTAAATGAGTTCAATGTCTTGGCCTCAACCAACCTTCCCGGCAACCTTTACAATTAATAATTACCCTCTGGGTAAAGAAAAACTTCCTGGTATCTGTCCTGAAATCGCCTGTATCATCTTGTTCCACAGATTAACTCCTCACCTGATCTCAGTTAGCCTACCAGTAAAATCCTTTTCACCCCCTTGAAAAAACGCCACTGCAACACTTATATTGTAGCTTTTTCTATGGTAGTGGTTTGCGGTAAGAGCCTAATACCTTATTTTATTTTGAGAGCATGACTAGAGGCGATAGTGGTTGATTTTCATGGCTGGTGCATGGCACTCATTGTACTCTTTGAGACATGTTTGCATGTCAATAACTATAGATTATTTGCTCCTTAGCAGTGTAGTCGAATGTTCACAACACACTGACGAGCAGTGATGCTCTACTCACTGCAACTTGGCATTGCGTCAGCTGTCTCCTCATATATACAGCAGCAATCTTTGCAAGAGTAGGTTTATAAATAATCAAATAAAAAGCAATTTTATTCAAACTTAGCAGTATGCCTTGAGAATTTCCCCAGGGAGAATCTGTGTTCTTTCAGTCACAAGCATATTCTGTGTCAGCCTGGCTCAGTGGTAGCACTCTCGCCTTGGAGTCAAAAGGTTGTGGGTATGATCTCACATAGTCTAAGGTATTCCTGGGACTTCATCTCACATAGTCTAAGATACACTCCGATGCAGTACTTGGGGTGTGTGGCATTGTCGGAAGTGTCGTCCTTCGGATGAGATGTTAAACTAAGGTTCCATCTGCCTGTTTATGTGGACGTCAAAGATCCCATGGGACTTTTCGAAAAGAGAAGGAAGTTTCTTTGGGTGTCCTAGCCAACAGTCTTCCAAAATGAAATTAATTATTCACTTCAAGGCTGTTTGTGGGACATTGCTTTGTGCAATTTCCCTGCTGTTTTCGCCAACAAATGCATAGCCATTCCACCACAGTATGTCTTGTGAAGTGCTTTGGGACATCCTTCTGACGTGAAAGGCACTATACCAAATGCAAAGATTATTATTATTATATTCGAATACAAGTCTTCATCACACTCTGCTTATTGTTACATTGTGACTGACAGTAAAGCAGCTTCCTGGTGTCAGGGAAGCTACAGGGCAACGTCTGAGAATGGGAGATGGAAAGGAGTGGTGTCAATCTTGCCATTGTCAATGGCTTTTACACTTTCATTTACTATGGGGTGAAATTTGCAGCCTTTCATAAATGCATTTGATGTGAAAATTAATGCGTCGAAGCACTGCAAATTTCATCCCTGCATATACAAGCCACAACTTCAGCTCTTGCAGAGCTTTCACTCCCCGCAAGAATGAAGCAAGTTAATTAGAAAATAAGCTTTCCACTCAAAAGCCATCAATCCTAGATTATAGTAAAGGGAGACTGTACTCTCCAAGTGGGCTGTAATGCTAGCAAAAAAATGTAATTGCACACAGACAGTCACTACATTTTACAGTAAAATCCTATGAAGTGTTTTGAGGTGTCTTCCTAACATGAAAGGTGCTATATCAAATGTAAAGATATTATTCTGTACGTTCAATGTAACCAGGCTTGTGATTTTACTTGAAGAGCGTGATCTTACCTGGTGATGTACATGGTGTTGGCTTCAAGCACTCTGCTTCAACCCAGAGTCAGCCAGAGTATAACCACTCTGCTTCTCCTGTCAATAAGATGTAGCCACAATAGACCAGCTTATTCTGTTTAGCCAAAGTATAAAGTCAGGAACCCGGGAACAAAGTCACTCGTAGTCTATGTTGAACAGCTCATTTAATTATTGAGGCAAAAAGATATAGAGTTTCGCATTAATTCAATAAACAGCATTACAGTAAGCAAGGTTACAATAGGCAATATTGTGTATAGCAAGAGAAGTCTTGTGTGTTATGCTGAGGTGCTGTCACAAGTCATCCGATGAAATGTATTCTTAGGAATACAATCTATGGAGTCCTGTAGCTCAGTGGTTAGAGCACTTGCCTTCCAAGCGAGTGATCTGGGTTTGATTCCCGGCAGCGTGAAACCTTGGGTAAGTTTCCTTACTCCACACGCCTGATAATAATCCCTCAAGAAAAAAAACACAATAAGAATTTGGTCACTCAATCCATGACTGTTTTTGGGACACTGCTGTGTGCAATTGGCTGCAGTGTTTCGCCCACAAATATACAGTCAATTCACTTTATAGTATATTCTGTGAAACGCTTTGAGACATCTCAAAGACGTGAAAAGCGCTATATCAAAGCAAGGATTTTTTTTATCATTATACCAACAGTAACATGCGACTGGCTGTCCAGTCTGCTGGATCTGAGAGATCTGGACTTCAAAGACCATCCAGTTTCATCCCTATTGCAGAAACAATCTCTATATGTCACAAATGTCCTCTTCATTCAAAGAAACATTTTGCATTTGAAGGCTTCAGAAAAAACAGATATTCGGGCCCACATTTGTTACTGTATGTTATGTTATAGAAAGGAAAATGTCACTTGCAGCAACCATCAAGTGTACAGCAATAGTCTCAGGAGCTTCCTGACATTTCACATGAAAAATATCCTCAACTTTACAGTCATGGTGCAGAATCAGTCCTCCCTAGCCAGACATTCTTTTATTGAAAGGTTGTTAATGGATCCTGTGTCCTTTATTATTGATGCACACGGGCAGCTTCACCTACAGGCAAGTAACACCTACATAATGAGATAAACAAAGTACCTGTTGCAATTTAATCAGGCAAAGCAAAACATCAGAACTACTAGGTCTTTCACCTTCTGCCAATGCATTTAAGTGTCAGTCTTGACTGGGACACTCACTTCACTAGGACTCACCCTTCCGCTTCACTGTTAAGGTTCCCTCTTGAGCTAGGCACTGGCACTATACTGCAATAGTAAGTAAAAGAGCCAAACTCTTTCAGGATAAAGGAGAATTGGAGAGAATATCAAATCACACAATTAAATTACTATGGCTGTGTTATTTTATGTCAGTCTGGCTCAGTTGGCAGCGCTCTCGCCTCTGAGTCAAAAGGTTATGGGTACAAAACCCATGTCACAACTTTGACTTCACAATCTAGGCAGACAGTCCAGTGCTAGAGTTGTGCTGCATTGTCAAAGGTGCTGTCCTTCGGATGAGATGTTGAATCGAGACTTTAAACGTAGCACTATTCAAAAAGAGAAGGGAGCGTCTCCTGGTGTCCTGGTCAACAATCCGCCCCCATCCCCTCCAAAATGGTTATTTACTTGATGATTGTTTGTGGGATATTGCTGTGCGCAAATTAGCTGAGCTGAGTTTGCCTACCAATACAAAGTCACTATCCTCGATAGTAAATCCTGTGAGATACTTTGAGACAATATGATAAATTGTAATATTCAATGCATTGATCGTCATTTTAATAAATATTGTGAATGTCGGTGCAGCAACCAGTTAGTAAAGATTGCCTTCTCTTTCAGATCATCTGTCTGCAGGACTTTTTTGGGGACGATGATGTCTTTGTTGCTTGCGGCCCAGAGAAATATCGCTATGCCCAGGATGACTTTGTGCTGGACAACAATGGTGAGGCTCTGTGGCTCATTTTGCAGCAGCATCTGATAGCTGCTCTCTTGTACAAAGAAACCACTAACAAAAGCGAGGACATTTTCCATTTGGTTGCATTTGAAGGGTCATTAATTGTCTTTCTAACTGTAATGAAATTGCTTGGTTTAAGCCCTGCTAAGCTCCAGGAATGATTTTGTAGAAAATTTCTAATTGACTCTCATCGTATTATCTTTATTGACCCAAATGATATTGTAACTCTATTTTATAACGCATGGAATTGAAATCATTTGTGTCTCTCCCGGATAGACACAATTGCCACTGTTTGAATAGTTTATTTAGATTGGATTTGCAGACCTTGCGGTATTTATTAAAAATATTTTTAAAAAAGCCCCATCACTTAAATAGCCAGTGTAGCTAGCACCAGTAATTAGAGAAAGGCTGTTCAATGATGATCTTAAAAGGGATTAGTGGAAGGGAGAATTATGAAGAGCTCTTTGTGACAGTCACAGGTCAATGGCCTAATATTACAAGTGTTTATTTTTATCATCAAGTCAGAGTTGTTATGCCCTGTAGCTATGCAAATTTCGATATCTTTTATTTTAAATTATTCCCCACTTTACGCAGTGTCTGCTTGGGCTTCTGGGAATAAAGAGAAGCCGGCAGACGTTGGGAAATTAAATTTAAAACAGAAAATCCACAGCAGGTCAATCAGCATCTGAAAGAGAGAGATGGGCTTCCAATGATCTGTTTGATAACTCTTTCAGTTCAAACAATGCCTGTGGTGTGGATGTGTACCCACTGCATTATTCAGTATAAACAATGTGGTGCTGACTGTTCATATTAGACTAATGCTGGGTCTCCTGCTGCCGCAGATGATGGTTTTTCCATGCGATGCATCAACTGAGTGTCAAAGAGGTTGCATTAAATGGCTGACTTCTCTTCTGAAGGGAGCAAAAGCCAGGCATGCAGGACTCATCATTGCTGCAGTTCAAATGCTCTGAGACACTTTGGTTGAATTGTTTTAATGCTGTCCAGCGACGCATGATAAAGTGCAACAGTGAAGATCTTCCAATGAGGAATTTGTTCTGGCAAAGGCTGGGTACAAACCAATAATATTTAATAGATTAATTCAATAAGCTCATTTTTCCTTAGCTGATCTAGTCATATATCAGATCTAATTATTCCTACCACGAACATCAGTGATCTGTAACGACAGGCTTGCGATTCTGTTTTCCCAGCATTATAATGTGATGCTTTAAATAAAACATTGTGCTATTGTAATCATCAGCAGTCTACCTGGAGGAATTCCACCAGGTTTCAATCAGCTTATGCAATATAATACAATTTACATTTACATAGCACCTTTCACGTCAGGAGGACAGGCAGGGGAAACATGACTGAAAGCACTCAGAGGTACATCTTGAGATGGACTGTGAACAAGGGGAGGGAGGGAGTCAAAGGGAATCCAGGATAGAGTTCCAGTAAGCAGTATCAGAATGGCTAAAAGTGCACCCCCAATGGTGAGGTGGATGGGTCATGAAGCAGACCAGTGTTTACTGAGCAAAGGGAGTAATCAGATTGGTAGGTTGAAGATGATCAAGGAAGTTTGATGGGGAAGAATCGTAGAGGAATTTGAATGTGAGTACAAGGGTGTTGAATTTTAAATGAAGCTTCAAAATTAAGACAGAATTTAAGAATCTGCCAAAATGTTGCATGTTCTGAAATGCTAGGAAAATAACATCCAGGTATTATAGTATTTTATTGACATAACAATAAAATACTATAACATGTTTAGACCTGAATGGAATTCTCAATTTAAAAAAATAATCTTGTGCGAAAATAAAATTAATCCTGGTTTGAAGGTTATGGGATTAAGCCTCACATCATCACTTTGAGCTTCTAGTGTAGACTGAGACTTCACTGGGGGAGATCAATTGGTCATTCACTTCATGGCTGTTTATGTGTGCAAAATGGTCGACCAAGTGGTCTACAAGTACACAGTCACTACACTTGATAGCAATTGCCTGTGAGATGTCTTGACGTTCTAGGTGGAATATCAACTGGAAGGATTATTATGAACATTATTAGGATTATTCTTTGTGGTTTCAGAGTGCCGTGTGATGAAATCATCCTACACGCGTTCTGCTTCTACATCACGGAATTCAGGATCAAAGAGCCCTGGGCTTTCACGGCGAAGCAAGTCTCCTGCATCAGGTACAGATTGCCAAATAGAGGCTAAAGAAACACACACCAGAAAAGTGAAGGGCCCCTTTTAACCAACTGTAAATACTCTGTGTGTATGTGAACAAGCCTGCAGGGAGAGACATGCCCCTCTGTGTCTGTGCTAACACTGTTCTCTTCCTCATGTATTACTCTGACTTTTCTTTGTGTCTCAGAATTTATTCCTGACTCTTCACCTCCTGTTCACGTTATTGTTTCAAATACTTCTGAAAGTTTTTCCAAGCATCTATTCAGATTTTATCAGTCGGACAACTTGTTTTCGCACCTTAGCGTCACATAAACGATTCAGGGTCAGTAATACATCTTATTTCTCTAGTTTGAGAAAAGGTGTTTCTGTCAAAGGTGTTTTGCCTTTGAGACCATTGTAGCTCACACATTAATGGACTGGCTGCATCCCTCACACAAGTGAGATACATCCAGCATTCGCTTTGCCAGTACACTACAATATATTCTTCCATTCTGCACTTCCGCCCACAAAATATACAGTCAATTCACTTTACAGTCAATTTGCCTTTACAGGCGCTATGTCAAATGCAGGGATTACTATTATTATTCATAGAAAAATGTCACTGATGTATGTAAAGAGCCATTCCTGTAGGTCTTTGAACAGAAACCAAAGCTTGATTTTGTGCTGTACCCACACACACACAGACACACACACAGACTGACTATCATGAAGTATTTTGTTTCATGCCTGTTTCTCCAAATGACTTGGCTCCACTTCAGAAAATAGTGGCATCCAAAACCACAAATATTCTGAGCTAAGACATGAGTTGCCCTCTGTGTGAATATATATCTGTGAATTATCGATGTATTTATTTTCCTTACAGTATAGTCTCCTTGTGGCTCAGTTAAATGTTGTCTCTTACTGTTACTACAGTTGTTTGTGTTTAACTGTAACCACTGTTGTAACCCTTCCTTACGTTTGGACTTGATATTCTGTTCTATTTGCGACTGTGTGGTAACATCTCTCCTTAATGTTTTCTCCTTCTACTTGTGTGTTAACTGAATGAGTGCAGTTAAAAGAGGAGGTTACTATTCCACAGCTTATTCTCCAGTCAAATCTCCAGGTGAGCCCCACTTTTCATACAATCCCATCTGACACTTGGTTGAGGATGATCAGGCGAGTCCTTGTGAACTAATACCATTTGCAAACAGGGCCCAAATTTCCCCTTGGTGCATCAGCTAGTGTGTGGCTCACCAGGTGTGGGGAGGGTGGTTGGGCTCTCAATATCAGACATTCAGTTTTTCTTCCCCTGCTATCATTGTGCATAAGCCCCAGTGTAATATTCTTAGTAGTTCATATTTCTACAAAATACAGTTACTTCACGTTAGAGAAATAGCTTTCTGATGGTTGCCTGAAATGAAAGGCGCTATATAAAACGTAATGAGTATTATTATAAATTACTTTTATACCTGGAAAGCAATTTGCAGTATGAAATATCTATTGAAATATCTACCTACATAACTGGTGAAATATCTACATACATAGTTCAAAAGCAGCCAATTGCAAATTGCATATTGGTAACGTGTAGACAGTCACTACACTTCACAGTAAATCTTGTGATGTTCCTTGAGACATTTTGGCAATGTGATAAGGCAAATCAAATGTAAGATTTGTTATTTTTAGAATTTACAAGAAGTGAAAATTGTAACTTGTGATATATATAAACCACTACACAGTTGAAAAATGCAGGCGGCAGATGTCGAAGATGAGTGAAATTATAAGGGGGATAGGGAGGAGGTGTCTGAAGGAGCAGGCAAACAAATAGGTTTTTAGGTGGTTTTGAAAGCAGAGGGAGGGAACGAGGTGGAAGGATTTGGCTCCAATGCTGCAAGGAAGGTTAAGCCTCCACTGAGATTGGGGGAATCTTTCACCAGAGGCACCGGAGGGTAGTGCACAGTGGGGTCTGATTCCCTAACAAAGCACTTAATGCTAATCAATCAGCTTCAGTGTGATTAAAAACCTGAATAAATATGTAGTCAGGAAATGTTACAGGACGAGGTGTAACAGGAATATCCATGGCCTGAGATGGACACATAATCAATGCAGTCTGTGCTATTGGGACAAGTGTAAGGTGGGCCCGTCAGGATTGATGATGAGATATTATAGGGGACTTTTTTTTTAAAAGGAGATCATGAGGGTAAATGAAAGTTTATTGTGGGTTATGAGGACTGTTCAAGAATTAGACTCTTGGCCCTCCCCTCACTCCAAGCTTTCAAATTTCCGCATTGCATTGCTCCTACGGATTGGCATTGGTTCTCTAATCACCAACAAGCTTCCAGATCGTACAGAGGGATCTAAAATGTGGGGTTCGTAAAGGACTGGTAAATAACCAACACTGCTGGTAACTGGATGTGCATCAGTGTCGACCTGCAGGAATGCTGCCACGACACACCTTTCCTGTCTTATAGCCGAAGCCAAACCCACGCCTCACCCGTTTCCTCATGGCTTAACTCAGGATACTTTGTTCTTGCAGTCCCAGTAGTGGCATCAAAACCTATATAAGCTCTCAAGCAATTCCCCCATCATAGATGTCTGACCAACTGATGATCTATAATTCCCAGCTTCGTGTCTCGCTAACGGATTAAATAACAGGATAGAACATGCTGTCGCTCAACCTTCTGCTGTCGAGTTCTAAAACATATTATCCAGAGACTCTCCTATTTCCTATCGCATATTCTTGAAGATCCAACAGTGCACGTTGATGTTTTTCACAGCACATGCTCTAATGATAGCTTCTTGTGTTAAAGTAATTCCCAAGCCCAAACGACTGGATCTGGAATTTGACCGCAGTTGTCAAACTGATGCAAAAAAAATCTGTTTAAAACATCTGCCATCTCTTAAGAAACAGACTGATTTCACTACAGCAGAGAAATGTGAGAGGAGACTCAAAGGAGGTCCTCAAAATCATGAGTCGTTTTGGTAAGGTAAATAAGGAGAAACTAGTTCCATTGATTAATGAGGATACAAATTTAAAATCATTGACAAATAAACCGAGGGAAATGTTAGGTGAGCGTTTTCTTTTGGCACACAGTGGTTTATTTATTGTGAAGTCCTGTAGTGTATTCGGTAGAGCACTAGCCTCACACGCGAGAGAACTTGGGTTCGATTCCCGGGTAGAGCAAAACCTTAGGAAAGTTTCTTTATTCCTCTGTTTACCTTGAAGTAAGTAGGAACCAATTGTCGATTGGTGGATTGCTTTCTGGAGGTTATAATCCTTTAAAAATAATAATAATTTAGTCACTCAATGCACGATTTTTGGAGGACACTGACTGCCAATTGGCTGCCGCTTTCGCCCACAAAATGTACAGTCAATTCACTTTACCGCTTATTCTGTGAAGCTCTTTGAGACATCTCAATGACGGGATAAGGTGCTGTATCAAATGCAAGGATTATTATTATGTTTTTAGGACATGGAATAGCTCTTTCATAGTGCTGGTGTAGGCACGATAGGCAGAATGACCTTCTTTACTGTAAAATTCTATGGTTTATTGATCTTTTTGAGCTCTCACAGGACCCCCAAGTGCGGGACTTTATCCTCAATGCAATTCAAACTACACTCTTACCATGCAATGACACATTAATCTTCTAGAAACGCATCATTGTGTTGTCGGAAAACATCATTAATCATTTGGCTTATTTCCTCTGGAAAGTCTCTCAGTTCCCTGAAAATTCTCCTTTAATCAGAGAGTGAGTTTGAACCCTGAGCCCTCTAGAGCTTTCTGACTCTGGACATTTGGTTCTTATGAGAGATAATAATTCCTGCAAAGTTAAAATGCTAAATAATAAAGTGTGGGATTACACATCCATGCTAGCACTCTGTACCAAACCATGGTACAATGAATTGATTGAAGGAGATTATACGGGTTCTAACATGCATAGATCGCTAACAATAATGCAGGGCTTTCTCTGCTGGATATTTTCACTCAGCTGCCTTCTTGCCTCCACAACCTAGGAAACATTGGTACAAGAGTATTGTACCTGCTGTTTCATACAGTAATTTAAAATTTAAAGGTTTCTCCAGTGCTGTGAAGGCCTTTTAAAGGAAGAGGTTTTCATGGCCAGCATCTATGTTTCTTGGGATTAGATGGCCTGATTCAGACGGCCAGCCTGTGAAGTATTTTTTGTCACCAGACACCAACTGAAAGATTGGCACACCCAAATGCACACCGACATAATCCATGTACAGTAGTATTCAGTTGGTCTTAGCAAAAGCGTAATGGAGCCAGGTTCTCCAGTCATTCTGTTTTTTTTTTGTTCAGCTGGGTATCTGACACATGTGCAGACCCATTACTATGCTTAAGAGTATCCAAACCAAACTGAGAATTTTAAGCATCCCACCTACACATGGAAACTCCAGTGTTTGGAGTGGAATGTGTTCTCCTTCCCCGGATGGACGCATGCTGCTTACCCAGTACTAGAAAACATTAGCCGCAAATTGGCAAGAGCCAATGCTCATACCAGAGTGGATGTTGGGGTACTGCTGTAGAATAACCAGCCAAAACCATGTAGCTTGCCATTGAAAGCACTGCCTGGCAAGCTTTCCCGCTGCTTGTCCAGCTAGGACCACTCTATAGGCAAGAGTTTTGACTTGCAGGGTTAACAGAAGCTGCATGAGAAGCATCTAAAAGTCAATCTGTTTACTGAAATAGGTTGCCAGGCCAAAGATTGGGGCCAGGGCACTGGATTCATTTAAAAAGCTATTATGGAAAGACGGTAGGGTAGGTATTATGGAAGAATGAGCTGTCCTTTCTTCCTTTCTTTCACAACTGGCACCGCCTTCCATCACCTCTGAAACATCGCCAGACTACGGCACTACCTCACCCCTCACGCTGCTGAAACTCTGGTCCACGCCCTTATCACCTCAAGGCTGGACTATGGGAACTCTCTCCTCGCCGGCCTTCCCGGCACCTCCCTCCACAAGCTGCAGGTCATTCATAACTCTGCAGCTCGTGTACTGTCCCGCACCAGGCTTCGCGACCACATCACTCCCACCCTCGCTCGCCTCCACTGGCTTCCCATCCCCCAGAGGATCGAATTCAAGATCCTCATCCTCACCTACAAGGCCATTCACGGCCTTGCTCCCTCCTACCTCTCCGACCTACTATCCCCCTACCTACCTGCCCGTACCCTCCGTTCCTCTGGCTCCGGTCTGCTCCACATCCCCCACCCCAACCGCCCTACCATCGGTGGCCGGGCCTTCAGCCTCTCAGCCCCTAGGCTCTGGAACTCCATTCCCCAGTGCCTTTGCCTTGCTTTCTCCCTTTCCTCCTTCAAGGCCGGTCTCAAGACCTTTCTCTTTGACCGTGCCTTCAGCTCCCCTCTCGACTCTTTACCCCCTCCTCGCTCCCTCCCTTCCCTCCCCTCACCCTGACCATGTCCCCCCTGCTCGGGTCCTGACCCAACTGTCCAGCGCCTTGGGACATCCTCCGGACGTGAAAGGCGCTCTATAAATGAAATCTTGTTGTTGTTAAATGCGATCTGGTGGGCTGAAAGGCCTTCATTGAAACCAATCTTATGATCTTGTGACTAAGCTCTAGCAATCCTAGTCACATTCTGTTGGACCACATTCATCAACAATATGATAACTATCACTAGCGACAGTTAACACATCAGACACTGCAATTTCCTCCCCGCAGTGTTGCTTTCAGTTTATAGACTTCAAATTAAATCTGGTTAGAGATATTGTGAAATCTGTGAGGAGGGGATGGTTGGGGGAAGAAAATTGGGGCATAGTGCGAAACTGATTGAATTGTGAGTTTCCGATTAGGAATAAGCATATGGTGGTTAATGGAATCTGGGAATGTGAAGTCACCAATTTGCAAATGGTATCAGCTTCATCAGTAAATGTCCTGATGTTGTGTGCTTGAAGGTGTTTTTATACACATCACTGTTAAACTAACATGTTTCCTGTGTGCAGTTAATGGAACTCCAAGCAGCCAGTTGTCTACACCCAAATCCACCAAATCGTCCAGCTCCTCCCCAACCAGTCCTGGCAGCTTTCAAGCTCACAAGGTAAATTCTTCTTGTCAAATGGATTCAATTATGTTTTTGTCACTTGTGTATTTCATGCTCTTAATCTCATTTGGGACAAACCTTTCCCACCCCTCTCCTGATGAGCCTTGTAATGCTTCAGTTTTCCATGACATGCTGTGCGTCATCTCCTACTACATATAAGAAAATCATTTCACCCACAAAATACACAGCCAATCACTTTACTGTGTCCTATGAAGCACTTTGAGATGTCTTTGAGATGTCTCAAAGACGTGATAAGGCACTTTATTTAAAAGCAAGATTATTATTATAAAATTGGCTTTTGTTGGACTTACATTTTTTCCCTTAGATTTTTGGCTACAGCATATCCTTGAAATACCCTTTTAAATACACATCAATTTTCCTTGATTGAATGCCTTTCAACAGCTGTGCAAGTTATACTCCTGATCCACATTGATTAAATTCCATTCCATATCACATGCACCACTTGCCTCATTGATCCTCATATCCCTGTGAGCTTGAGAAAGAGTTCCTTATGACCTTCGCATACCCATTTTAAGTTTATTTGCAGTACTCATTTTACGGCTAAACTAGTTTTCTCACAGTTGCCTTGAAATTAATACTAATCCTTCCATTTGTTATAATGCCTTTCACATCGGGAGGATGTCCCAAAGTGTTTTACGGGATTTAGTGTAAAGTGAGTGACTGTGTAAGTGAACGTGGCAGCCCAATTGTGCACAATAATATCCCACAAACAGGCATGGAAGGAGTGACCAATTTTATTTGGAGTACTTTTGGCCAAGACTCCTGGAGAAACTCCCTTTTCTTTTCAAATAATTCCGTGGGATCTTTAACATCCACCTAAACAGGAAGACTGGACCTTGGTTTAACGTCTCATCCATGTTTAATGTGGGGCTTGAACCCACAACCTTTTGACTCAGAGGTGAGAGTCACTGAGCCAGGCTGATACCTGTTGTTGACATATTCAAGATTTGTCACTTTCTGACTCCATGTTATGATTCCACAAAGAATTAATAAGTACACTGCACTGTGAATGTATTCCTAGTTGCTTAATTCTGGTTCACTCCAAATACACTTCCTACAATCCACCTCCCAACACCTTCACCCAATCTTAGTCAGTGGTTATGCTTTTATAATCTGATCCGGTTCAGTCCCATAAGGTGATTAATACCTGACCTCAATAAATCTTAACACTGGTATCTACTGATGTCAGCCAGGTCTCTCCGTCACCGATCAAAGTCGGAGTCTTCACAATGGTGAAACTAGCAATACCTAAATGTGGTCCGTTATGTTTTAATATTATCTAGTATTGCAATACTTAAGTTTTAATCAGTTTTTCTTTTTTAAAACAACTTATTCAATTTGCACCAAACTGTATTAACTGATTTGCTTACAAAATGCAGTCATTCCAATTTATAGTAAATCCTGTGAAGCACTTTGAGATGTCCTCCTGATGTGAAAGGTTCTATATCAAATGCTATTATTATTTTCTATCAAATGCGAGGATTACTATGTATAATTTTAAATCACTTTAGTCCATAAAGAGTTAACAGATCAAAAAGTTCTCAAAAAACTAATTCTTCAAAATGTTATTGAAGATACTGCAAATTATCTGAACTTATTATAGATTGTGTCATTCCTTCTGAGAGTAACATTCCAGTGACCAAAAAGAATTATCATTGAACTGTAATCCTTAAACATGACAGCACAGGAAACAACAAACATGGTATTGATTTGGGCTGTACCTTTGTCTCCTGCTATAAACAAGACATTGTTTCAGGTGTTTATCCTGTGTCCGTATAGTTCTGGATTTGCATGCTAAGTTTAGTTTTATGTAAAAATATAAAATTGATGGTACTGTAAATGCTCGAGCAGTATGCTTAGTATTGCATATGACAAGTGCTGTGAAACAAGGCTACCATTCCATCGATAGTCAATAACATTATCTATGGGAGTTAAGGTTGAGTCTGAACAACATCTGAGGCCCTGAGATAGTCTTAACACCTCACTGTCTGACAAATGGCTTAGACACTATGAAGGGGAGGGAGGATGGAAATGTGATTAAATGCAATGTGATAAATAGCACAACACATACCGCATTCTTCCTCCATATTAGGAATGTAGGAACAGGAGTATGCCATTCAGACCATTAAGCCTGTCCCACCACTTTCAAAGATCGAAATTCCACCTCCTGCCCTCTCTCCATATCCCTTGATACCTCTTGTCTGTCAAGCGTATATCGATTTGCCTTTTAAATTCTTTAACTGACTCTGCCTGTACTGCCTTCTGGGGGAGTAAATTCCACACTCCCACCACCTGCTGCGTGAAAAAATGCTTCCTTATTTCACTTCTAAACTGTTTAGCCTCAAGTTTAAGACTATGACCTCCAGGCCTCAATTCTCCTGCTAGAGGAAACAGATGCTCACTATTCAGCCTGTCAAATCTCCTTATGATTTTATATACACCTCAACCAGATCACCCCTCTAGCTCCTGAACTCAAGAGAATAAAAATCAAGCTTTTCCATTATTTCCTCATAATTTAGATCCTTGACATCTGTAATAATTCTAGTAATCTACTGCACACGGTAAGGCTAATATATCTTTCCTAAGGTTTGGTACCCACAATACTCCAAATGGGGCCTGACCCAATGTTTTATACAGCTGTAACATCACTTCCTGACTCTTGTATTCCAGCCTCCATGTGATAAAATCCAACATTGCAATAGCCTTTTTGATAACATTCTGCACTACTTTTTAAAGATCTATGAACTGAAAACCCAGATCCTTTTGCTCATGAACCCCACTAAATGTTTGTCCATCTGGAATGCTGTCTGACTTGGCATTCTTAAATCCGAATGAACCACAACAACAACAACAAGATTTTATTTATAGAGCGCCTTTCACGTCGGGAGGACGTCCCAAGGAGCTGGACAGTTGGGTCGGGACCCGAGCAGGGGGGAAATGGTCAGGGTGAGGGGAGGGAAGGGAGGGAGCGAGGAGGGGTAGATACTTTGCCACATTAAACTGTTTTATCATTATTAGATGATTGAACCATACTTCTCTTTAGTTGGAAGCAATCATTATTGAACAGAAAGAGATCCGTGAATAGTTACATCACAGTCTGTTTACTAAAAGGTCCTAGTGCATGTAGCAACCTAGAATCACAGAAACTGCAGTGTGGAGAAGGCCAATCGACCCATGGAGTGTAAACTGGAGGCATCTATTCTAATGGCTCTGCTGTTCCCTATGATATTGTTCTGCTTCAAATATTTATCTAATTCCCTTTTAAATGTTGTTCTGATTTGTGGTTTAATGATCTGTGCCCCTCATGGTGAAAACTCCTGGAAAGCTTAGTGCAACCAGAGTTAGAAGGTCCTATTTTTGGGGCCATAATACTACAAAACAGTGGCTGGCAAAGCATGGAAGGAGAGGCTGTTAGTTGTCCTCCCTCCCTCACTATGGACAGTGTACAGTATGCCTTATCATTGGCACCACCCAACCTATTTACATTATGCAAGACTTCTCTCAATTTCCCAACCTCCAGATATTTGAGGGAAACCTCCTGGAGATTAATCTAATCTACAGCCTACACACTTCATCAGTGACTGGTTGCTCTCCACACAAGGTCCCAGCAGCACAGAAGCTGCAGCGTCCCTTGGAGCATGTGACTGTCTCACTCAATTATTCTACAACCTTCAATCAGGTCTCATCCAGTTCCTTTTATCAAAAACAAGTTAATCAACGCACTATTAATTGATTTTGCTGGGAGTATATTCCGCATAACCTCCTGTGCTGAAAGTCTGCCCGCCTGTATGACTATGACCAATCTGTGCTGGTGGTTGGGGGGGTTTGGGAAGCAGAATTCTTCTAATCGCTAGTCTTGCTTCAGGCCTGTTATATTAACATTTGTGTCCTCTAGTTCAATGCTTTCTTTGTTCAGGAGTGTTGTAAGAATAATGAAGGGAGGGGTTCCTTGTTGCAGGTATAATTCAGGTTTGTTTCAATGTAGCAAAGGTTTGCTGCTGTCCTGGTCACTATGCTCTGCTGTTTCCAAGCCTACAGGCTGGACAAACAAAATGGCCTATTAGGACGACAGTAACCTAGAAAAAGGAGGACGCCATTGAGCCTGTGCTGACTTGATCTTACTACAGAGGTGTCCTGCTTTCCATTATCAGACTACCATTAAAGAAAGACCTTCAAAAAGGTGCTAAGGCGTTCACATTGCACAGCACGACAGGTTATTTAATGGGTGGATAACCTTACTAGAATCTTATGAGACTGTGTTATAGTTATAAGAACTCATATGATTGTAAGGAAGAGAAACAGAAGTACCATGGCCAGATTGCTGGTGGGGGAGGGGGATAGTAAGAAAGAAGGTAGTGTTTCTCCCATACTCTGCTGATGCACATCTCCAAAACTGGTTACCTGAGCAACCACTGCACCATCTTAACCTTCCCCAGTTAAGGGGAACAGATAAAGAACTGAACTGAGGAATCACTTTAGAGGATTTACTACAAAGCGGAGTAAAGTGTAGTGACTGTGAATTTTTTAGGCACCGTGGCAGCCAATTTGTGCGCAGCAATGGCCCACATACAGCCAATGCAGTGAGTGAGTGACCAAATAATTATTAATATTTGTTTATAAATGAATGATTGAAACCTTTGAGATATATTCCAAGCCTCTGCTTCTGATGCTGCCCATTTTTTGTATATTTTTTGCTTCACACATCCTAATTGAGGGATGGAGAGAAAAGCTGAACAACAGACTGACACACAACACCTTTGACATTCCTGGCATTACCATTTACTAGTAATGATATCAGTATTTTTTTATTAGCCTTTGCCCGAAAAATTTTGGTCCATTTTCTCACCTGCTCTCTGCAGAAGGTGTTGAACTCCTTTGTCCTTTTATTGGGTTACCAAGGATCTTCCACGTCTGAGCCTGTCTTTCCCAACTTTCCAACCATGTATCTCCTTATCGGTCTGATCTCCTCCTACCCCACTCCACTGCTCATCCCCTCTGCTCCGCTAACTTGGGCTTGCTGCTCATCCATAGCTTCAAAGCTTCAGGCCAAAGCTTCAGATTCTACACCCCAAACTTCTGGAGCTCCTGGCCTCTACCTCTCCATCACACCCCTTCTTTGTGTGCTTTGTAAGTCCCACCTTAAAACAACCCTCTTCAACGCACCTATTGCCACCTTCCCCTCCCCTCTGTGACCAAATAAAATTGTTCACACACTGTTGTGGGACATTGATGTGCACAACTTGGTTGCCATATTCGCCCAGAGAATACACACACTGTTCCACTTTACAGTAAATCCTATGAGATGTGAGAATGGGGGTGATGCGTTCAATACTTTAGATCCTTTTCTGTTATCTCAAGACTAGCCTTTATTGCTGCTCATTCACTGCTGTCTGGCTCCTGATTTCCATTTAATCGCGGACTGTGAGATGAGGGCTGTGATGCTGTCAGTGAGGTGTCTCTGCATGACAGATTTTAATTATCGCTTTAGTGTAAGAAATGCTAAAATCTTTAATTAAATGTGAGAATAAGGGAAACATTTAGACAAGCTCCACATCAGACGTTCCTGACACATCTAATGAAACACTCCCCAAGTTCCCACCTGGAGGTTTAAGAGTAGATTTGAAATTATGGAGACGGATGAGTCCAGTGTTCCTAATTTTTCTGTAAACAGTTTCTCCACAGCCATCCTAGCAGAGGACAGGCTGACACTTTGTGTTGATTTCAAGCTGGGATAGAAGCAGGCAAGCTTGATGAACTCCTGCTGAAATAATAATTATTTCAATTGATGATATAACGGCTAGAACATTGAAACATCTCAAAGTGATTCACATGAAATTGCTGTCACGTGTACTGACTGAATATTTGAGGCAAACTTAGCAGTTAATATGCACACTGCAATGAGGTGAATGCCCCACCCTCTGAAGCTCCTTTTCTCACCCTCTTCATTTGCCCCTCTCTATCCCTTTAACAAACTACCGCTTTAACCCACCATCACCTCCCGCCTCGGAGTCTCTGTAAAGTAATAATAATAATAATAATCCTTGCATTTGATTCAAAGTGTTGTTGTTGTTGAATGATCTGGAGGATTGTTGGTCAGGCCACATCCAAAGCGTTGCCTTTACTGCAGTGCAGCACTGCCCCAGCACCTCATTGAAATGTCAGCCCACACTATGAGCTCAAGTCCTTGCTTGGGGCTTAGACTCACAAACTTTAAGCCCAGACATGAGAGCATTGCCAAGTGAGTCAGGCTGACACACTGGAACAGAAGCAACTGCGTGCTTTTTAAGTGAGATGGAAATGGGCAGCTTGACTTCTACTATACCATCTTTGAAAGCTGTTTTAGTGCTGCCAAGGCAAATGCGTGGACATTCAGTGCACATGTTTCAAGCTGTGCCAAGATTCGTCGATTAAATAACTCCTCCGTTCATTTCTGTCATTTCCTCATGTTTTTTCTATAAAAACATACGATGGAGATCACTTGTGTTCACACGTGCCCTTTGAAAAGAATGCATATATATATATATAATATGAATAAGAAGTGGGCAGCTAGCAAAGCTGAAAGCCAGTGTTCACTGGGCTAAGGGTCTTATTTACTGTCCCGAGTCTCAGTGAATCAATGCAAAAATACCCACATATATCATCTGCAAACAAGATTCTCAGTAAATTTCTATAGTTAAACCTTTCAGAGTGGAATGAAAGAAATTACGGAAATGAAGTGCATGTTCTGATTCACAAGCTCCTGGGATTGAGTGTAATCTTGCTGTGTTTTGGATTGGGATGTAAGAACATCAGGAGGATCCCACAAGGATTAAGGAAGTGGCTCTGTCTGACCGCCAGTCAATTATCCTTTGAAGCTGCAGCTCAGCCACTGTTAAACTGGGACGCTTTAAACAAAAGTGTTGCTACTTTTCAGATTACTAGGGACTTTTTTGCAATGCTGATTGGGCTTTAAAACCAATGCAAAACGAGTATTTCCTACTGAGATTTTGCCTTGCAAACATGAATGCGATTTAAACTCTAGGTGAACTCTTACGCAAGAGCTGAAATGCAAGTCCTGTGTGAACAGACAGATCAGTTCAATTTCAAGTTGTACAAATTCACCTCCACTGTACTTGGGCCTTCATCTGTAGCTGTCCTGGAGCTAGGGGAAAGCCCTTCAGTCCCAAGTTATGAGGTGATAGGACACTGTGTGCCTCAGTACAATTTTTTTCAAACAAAGATTTTGGTGTGTCCCAGATATAAATGCCAGGGAAATAAATGGGTTGTGACGGTAAAAAAAGCTGCTATCTTCCTGTGTTGCAACAACAACAACAAAATTACATTTGTCTGGTGCCTTTCACATCAGGAGGATGCCCCAAGGCACTGGACAATCAATGTTTCAGACCCAAGCTAGGAGTCGGGGAGGGTGGCGGGCAGGTTACCAAGGATGGTAACCGAAGGCACGGTTGAAGTGGAGGATCTTGAGATGGGTCTTGAAGGAGGAAAAAGAGGGGGCAAAGCGGAGGGACTCCAGGATGGAGTTCCAGAGGGTGGGGGCAGATTGGCAGAAGGCTAGAAATTATAACATAGAAGGAATCTTATGCTGGTATTAGCTCCAACATTGGAGCTCCATAGTCGAATACCAACTCATTTCCTGTGTTGTTTTAGATTGCTTCCCCTCAAATAATGATCCAGTATAGAAATTAGTAAAGGTTTGACTCACGCTTTTCAAAGACCAGACAGAGCCACTTCATTAATCCTTGTGGGATCCCCCTGATGTTCTTACACCCCAATCCAAAACGCAGCAAGATTACACTCAATCCCTTCCATGTGACAGTGGCTGACACTGTATTGCACAGTGTGTGCTGTTACTTCCGATCCAGTCCTGCTATCATTCTCACTAAAATTATTGGTAACTCAATTTCAGTGTTTACCAAAGCCTTCAAAAGGGATATAGTGATAATGAGATTTAACGCTCTTGTTATCAGGAGAGTGGCACAGAATTGAACTGTCTTCATAAGAGAAAAGATCCAGGTCTATCAAAAGCTGAGAGACACAGATAATCTGGAGATAAGCAGATAACTATGATCTCACTTGGTGGACCCAGGTACCGAGCTAACAAGCCTTAAGCAAGATTGGATACTGGAAGTAGTTTACCCAGTGAATAGTAATCTTGGGGAATGAATTGTCATCAAGAGTTTCCAATACTATGTCAATTTGTTCCTTTAAGTAGTAGCTGGATCAATAGATAGGTTGTATTCTTGTAGCGAAAAAAAATCAAGCAAGACCATACAGGTTATGATAGTCCACATTAATAAGACAGACATTTGGCGGTTTTTCATTCATTTTACGTTCCTCAGATTGAACCCTTTGAATACGCTCTGCTCTATTAGCATTTCTCAAAATAAACATAACGAATAAAACCAGTTTCTATATCTCTCTGCTTATTGAGTAGCAGCAGTGTGAAGTTTTTCTGTGTTCATTTACACTTAGAGCTGTCTTAGGGTTGTGATTATGGCCATAGGTTACTGTCAGATTTTCACATTTAAACCCAATCGAAGACTGATATTTTTTTCCAGATTCAGGTTGTTTTAGAAGTGGTGTAGAATTGTTGGTGGGCTATGGGGGACTCGAGCTTTAAAGAAGAAAATGTGGTACTAAAAAGATAGTACATGTCAGTGGGTTGCTTACAGGCAGAGTATTGGGGTACACAGATTCATTGATCATTCTTCTGCTGCTATAATTCCAACCACCAACAAATTTAATGTGGGTGTCACTCCAAACCCATCCCTCTCCTCAACTACACAACTACATTTTGTCGATGGTAATGTTCGGGGCTCAGTTGGTAGCACTTCCCTCTAAGTCAGAAGGTAGTGGGCTCAAGCCCCATTTGGGGACTCACAACTCACTGTCTGAGCTGGTAGTTTATTATTACGATTATTATTATTATTATTAATATGGTGTTGGGTGATTACGTCTCCCATAAGAAATTAAACCGAGGTTCCGCCTGCCTTTGCAGATGGACATTAAAGATCCCATGACTTTATTTAAAAAGAGAAATGGAGTTTCTCCCAGGGAACCTGGCCAACAATCACCCCAGGTAAAATCGGTCATTCACTTCACATTGTTTGTGGGTCATTCATGTGTGTAACTTGGTTGCTGTGTTCGCCCACAAAATAGCCACAGTCTTATCACTTTATAATAAATCCTATGAAGTGCCAAAAGATGTGAGAAGGTGCCGTGTGTTGCATCCTTTTCTACTATCTCAGACTGATGCCTATATTGCTGCTCGTTCATTGTTTGTCACATTAGGAGAATGTCTCAAAGGGATTCACATGGCCGGCTGGGCACCCGAGCTGGGTACAACCTTTTGAATTAGGTCATGTTTGGATCTCCTTTAATCCAGAATGGACAAATTTGACCTCTTGTTTCCATTTGGTTTACAGCTCATCACTGTTGCAATCCTATCTCCAGCACCATCCCTGCTGAGTTTCTACTCTAATTGACATGACTCTTCGAAGCTCTTTAACTATATGATGTTTTGATGATTGTTATCTTCTAGGTTCCTTACCATGTAAGTTTGTCCACCAATGTGAACGGGGTCCCTGAGCAAACCAACGGCCTCAGCCCAGAAGGTAAGGGAATTTGCTTTATTTGACTTTAATAGATGGTTCCTGTGTCTGTGATGCTGTTACTTATTTTTGTTAGCAGAAAAANTCTTGTTATGCGATCATTAAAGTCCTTTCAACAGAAATACAGTAAACTCCTGATATATCGTCACTCCAAGGGAAAAGATCTCAGTGACTCTACATCTGGGGCGACTATGTAGGCATGAGGCCTCTGGGGCCATTAGGGTGCGCTGTGGCTGGGAGGACCTACATCAACATACTCTGAGCCTGCCCAGAGCGGGCAGCTATCACTGTGACACAACGGCCCCATCCCTACTCCTGTCAGTTTATTAAAACTCATTTAAGCACAGTATAAGTTTATGTATAGGCATATGTGTCTATAAATGGCCTTATTTTGTTTCCTATCAATTATTTCTGTGACTGTTTTGGAAACTGTGCACTTCTCAGGATATGTACTGTATTTGATGCATTAAAGAACAATGATACCATATTTGCAGGTTGTATCTCAAAACTAAACATCTTTATGTATTAAACAATTTGCATACAACAATACACACCGTACTGTGTTTTCAACACGGTAAAACATGTCAGACAGACAGATATCACTCACCCATCCTACACATGCAGCAGTTTCCCTCCCCAACTTAAGGTACTGTGTGTCACACAAGAGCACAGGTTCACCGGGTGAGTTTAAACCATCTTGCCACTCTGTCATTCTAGCAATACAATTAAAACAATACTACTGAAACCCACAAAACAATTGCAAATCAAAAATTTTAAAAAGTAGCTCACAAAAAGCTGTAATGATCTCAATGTTCTTGGGAAAAATAACCCATGGTAGTCAGATTCAGATAGTCGACATCTCATCGAGAGAGTTCGCTCTTGTGACTGAGCTGTGTGGGATGTATAGAATGTGACTTTATAGGTTGTAAGCAAGTGATGAAATAAAGGTGTGTGCGTGTGGGGGGGGGGGGGGGGGGGTGGGTTGCCGATCTTTCTGGAGTCACGTACGTGCTCAAGGCAGAGAAATCTTAGTGAGTATCATCACGAACATTTTAAAACCTTTGCTGCAATGGCATCTCTGTACCAGCATCCCTTGAGTGCTTGTGTGAAGGGGGAGGGGAGTAGTCGGAGAGGGGGTGTCAAAGCAAATCCTCCTGGAAAAGAAGCTGGGAATACCAGAGGGAGAACCAGTTCAAGAGCAGCACCGACTCTGGTCTGGAAGATGCAGACCTGGAGTATTAGGCAGGGCATAGCTCAGAAGGCTATGGCCTGCTCCTTGTCCTCCGCCTGGCCCGCTCCACCATTGGTGTTCGTGCTTTCGACATCTCTGCCCCCACACTTTGGAACTCCATCCCACAGACCCTTTGCTTCGCCCCCTCCCTTGCCTCCTTCAAGAAAAATCTCAAGACCCTCCTCTTAGACCGCACCTTGGGTCACCCGCCTACCCCTACCCTCCCCGCCCTCCACCTCTCCTGATCCCAACCATCAGCTCGGGTCCAAATCCCTGACTGTCCACCGCCTTAGTCCGTCCTCCCGAAGTGAAAGGCGCTATACAAATGTAATTTGTTGTGAAGGTACTAAAAATCGGGCAAGACTCATAGTCAGAGAATAGAAGAAGGTTTTAACTAATATTAAAGAAATGATACTTTGAAGAACCAGGAATGAATGAGTTTAATCTGCCTTGAGCTGGTGTGGAATTATGGCTTATTACTAAGAGGTAAAATAGCTACAATTTACAGTCATTTTTGTCAAATAAAAATCAGTTCTGTGTGTAATGATGAGATGAACTTAGGCCCATTTATTTAATAAACACATCCTGATAAGCAGAGTTTGTGGCTGGCCAGTGAGGGCGGTGCAGGAATACTCAGTGGGTAGAAGACTGGGAAAGGTGACGTGGATTTTCTTGATTCTTCTCCCAGGGCTGAATGGAAATCGATCCTTTTCAGCTTCAACCATCCTCGACAAATACAAAATCGGGAAGGTGATTGGAGATGGGAATTTTGCTGTTGTTAAGGAGTGTATGGAGCGGTAAGTCAGCGTTTCATCATTAACCTATGCCTCCCTTTTACTTCTGCTACAATAGATCCTTTCCAATGTGATTCATTTCAGAGCTAAAGCTGCTCCATATCCTTACACTAATAGTTTTAACGTACCAGAGAGAGTGGCGAATATGCAACAATGGCATCTAAAATGCACCCTATTAAAATTCACAAAGGGATTGCGTTAGGAACAGTTTGCTGTAACCTTATGTGATGTGCCCTAACAGGGCAACAGGGGGCACTATTTGTGATTTCCTCTTGAAAATATTTCCATCCCCAATCGGGTAGGTTTTGCGTGGTTTGTGAAAGGATTGAATATGACAAGCCAAGTGACCTCTCTCGTTCACATTTTCTTTCGTTCTTAGGATGTAAACAGAAGGTGGTCACACCAATGATGGTGCTTTTGCTGAATCTTTTGTTCATGAAGCAGAACAAGAGAAGAGTTTTTGTGTCACACTGCACACTGCCTCCTCCGCCTTATCTCCTATTTCATTGTTTCAGTTCAAAAGCTTCCTGCTGATTTGAAAAAGGTTGCCCACTTTCTGGCGAGGTCACTGGCTGTGCGGTGTCATATTTAGCACAATGTGAGGCTTTAAGCTTTGTTCTTTCTGAAAAGGGGTTTGCAGATCTCCCGAAAGCTTTGTCTGCAAGACAGTGATAAGAAATTCAGCTTAGCTCAGCATTGATAAGAAGAGACTTCACAAATGTGCTGCACACTTGAGATCAACTTGATGTACAATGAGGGGATAAGGTCAAGCTCCACTGGTTCCCCATCACCGAACGGATCGATTTCAAGATCCTCACACTTGTGTTCAAATTCCTCCACTCCCTGGCACCTCCCAATCTCTCCAACTTCCTCACTCCCAAATCCACCACCCGGCACCTTCGTTCAGCTGGCACTGGCCTCCTGCTTGTCCCTCACGCCCTCCGCTCCACCATTGGAGGTTGCACTTTCAGCCACTACGCCCCGAAACTGGTAAATTGTTTTACCAGCATTTCTTCACTCTCTCTATCTCCTGGAAGGTGTTGGGTCATGCTAGGTTACAGTTCCCCAAATATGCGGAGTCCTGTAGCTTAGTGGTTAGAGCACTCACCTTGCAAGCGAGAGTACCTTGGTTTGATTTCGAGTTAGGCAAGCTTTCTTACTCCACACGCCTCTGTTTACCTAGCAATAAGTAGAACATAAGAATATAAGAACATAAGAATTAGGAGCAGGAGTAGGCCATTCGGCCCCTCTAGCCTGCCCCGCCATTCAATAAGATCATGGCTGATCTATTCTGACTCCACCTATCCGCCTTATCCCCATATCCCTTAATCCCTTTATCCACAAGAAATCTATCAATCTCAGTCTTGAATATGTTCAAGGACTGAGCATCTACAGCCCTTTGGGGTAGAGAATTCCCTAAATTCACTATTCTCTGAGTGAAGAAATTTTTCCTCAACTCAGTGCGAAAGGGCTTACCCCTAATTTTAAGACTGTGACCCCTGGTTATAGTTTTTCCAACCAGGGGAAAAAGTCTCCCATTATCTATTCTGTCATGCCGCTTAATAATCTTATAGGTTTCTATAAGATCACCTCTCATTCTTCTATATTCTAGAGAATATAGGCCTAAATTTCTCAACCTATCCTCATAACTCATCCCCCTCATCCCAGGTACCAACCTGATGAATCTACAGTGTTCTCCCTCCAAGGCGAGTATATCCTTTCTTAAATAAAGAGACCAAAACTGACACAATACTCTGGGTGCGGTCTCACCAGATCCCTATACAGTTGCAGCAATATTTCCCTACTCTTATATTCTAACCCTTTTGTAACAAATGCCAACATACCGTTAGCCTTCCTAATTGCTTGCTGTAGCTGCAAACTAACTTTTTGTGACTGGTGAACAAGGACACCCAAGTCCCTCTGAACGCTAACACTATCTTGTTTCTCCCCTTCTATAAAATAATCTGCTCTACTGTTTTTGCCACCTAGGTGCATGACCTCACATTTCCCTGCATTATACTTCATCTGCCACCTATTTGCCCACTCACCTAGCCAATCTATATCTTGTTGCATTTTTTTTATGTCATTCTCGGTGTTTACTCTCCCTCCTAGTTTAGTGTCATCCGTGAATTTGGATATATTAAGTTTGATGTCCTCATCTAGATCGTTGATGTAGATTGTAAATAGTTGAGGCCCAAGCAATGATCCTTGTGGCACTCTACTAGTCACATCCCGCCAATCTGAGAAGGACCCATTTATCCCTACTCTTTGTTTTCTTCCCGTTAGCTATTCTTCAGTCCATGCTAATATATTCCCCTTAATTCCATGGGCCCTAACCTTGTGGATCAACCTTTTATGCGGCACCTTATCAAATGCCTTTTGGAAATCTAAATACACTACATCCACTGATTTCTCCTCTATCTAATCTACTTGATATGTCCTCAAAAACATCTAAAAGATTTGTTAAGCATGACTTTCCTTTTGTAAAGCCATGTTGACTCTGTCTAATCATATTGTGATCCTCTAAGTATCCCACTACGACATCCTTAATTAAGGATTCTAGAATTTTCCCTACCACCGATGTCAGACTAACTGGTCTATAGTTCCCCATCTTTTCTCTCCCAACCTTCTTAAATAGTGGTGTGACGTTTGTGATCTTCCAATTAATGGGAACCGTTCCAGAATCCGAAGAATTTTGGATCAGACACAAGGTCTCCACTATCTCATGAGCTACCTCTTTTAAAATCCTAGGATGCAAACCATCAGGTCCAGGGGACTTGTCACTTTTTAATGCCAACAATTTCCCTAGCACCAATTCTTTGCTAATGTAAATTTCTCTACGTTGCTCCCTATCATTAGCCCTTTGGTTCATCTCTATTTCTGGTAAACTTCTTGTGCTTTCTAACATGAAGACAGAAGCAAAGTATTTATTTAGGGACTTTGCCATATCCTTATCCCCCATTATAATTCCTCCTGTCTTTGCCTATAATGGACCCACATTTATTTTTGCTAGCCTGTTCCTCTTAATGTATTTATAAAAACTCTTACAATCTGTCTTAATGTTCCTAGCTAGCTTGCCCTCATAATCCATTTTCTCACTCCTAATGAGCTTTTTGGTTTTCCTTTGTTGGTCCCTAAAACACTCTCAGTCCTCGGGTTTGCTACTCCTTTTGGCAGTTTTATAGGTCTTTTCTTTTAGTTTTATACTTTCTCTAACTGTTCTAGTTCGCCACGGATGAACTGCTTTCCCTGCGGTACTCTTATTCCTCAAGGGAATATGTGACCGCTGAGAATTTTGCACTACATCTTTAAACGTTTGCCACTGTTGGTCTATTGTCATATCCATTAATCTAATTCCCCAGTCTATTTTAGCTAATTCTTCCCTCATACCTGCAAAGTTAGCTTTATTTAAATTTAAGACCCTTGCTTCGGATTTGACTATATCGCTCTCTAACTTAACACTAAATTCTATCGTGTTATGATCACTCTGCCCTAGAGTAGCCTTAATATCTATATTACCGACTAGCCCTGTTTTGTTACACAAAACAAGGTCTAGGATGGCCTGTCCCCCAGTTGGTTCCTCACCATACTGTTCCAGAAAGCTATCTCTCATACACTCTATAAACTGTAGTAGGAACCCGGTTGTTAGTCGATTGGTGGATTGCTTTTCCAGGGTTAATAATTCCTTCAAAAAAATAATAATCATTTGGTCACTCAATCCACGACTGTTTATGAGACACTGCTGTGAGCAATTGGTTGCCACGTTTCAACCACAAAATATACAGTCAATTCACTTTACAATATATTCTGTGAAGTACTATGAGACGCTTAGAAGACGCAAAAAAACGCTATATCAGATGCAAGGAATATTATTATTATATTGGTCCCCTCATCCAAGTGGTCTTGATTCACCCTTAAACGTAGACAGAGAGTCCTGCCAGGCTAACTCAACAGTAGCAGAGCTGAGCCTGATCATGTCCTCACTCGAAGGTCACACTTGCACCTCCTCCAGTATGAGTCATTAGATATTGATCAGGAAGGTGGGAACCCTACCTGATTTTTTTCTCCCTTCCGAGCATTAGAAACAAATGTAGCTCCTCTACTGTTGCCCCAGTAGAGATCAGGTAACTCAGGACAGAGCAGTGATCGACCCTGGCACCTTTTGGGTCTATGGCTCAATTTCACATTGATGTGATGATAAAAAGAAGCTTGATGCAGTGATGGGGGGGAGGAGCAACGGTAGAGTAGGTGTTCTGGAGGCACTTGAATGAATGGGCCAACCAATCTTGTGAACCCCTCTTCTTCCCCTTTTTGCCTCTGTGATGTTTGCCTCTGTTGGGCCCAAATGGACGTAGATAATAATCCTTGCGTTTGATATAGCGCCTTATCAGGTCTTTTGAGACATCTCAGTGTGCTTCACAGAACTTAATGTAAAGTGAATTGACTGCATATTTTGTGGGAGAAACACGCAGCTAACCGTGCACAGCAGTGTCCCACAAACAGTCATGGATTGAATGATCAAATTATTATTATTATTATTTTATTTGTGTAGACGGGATGAACTGTCAATCAGAGCTCTCACCTGCCCCTTAGGTTAGGCTCCATTGCTGGAACTAACAAGCTGCCTCCTCAAATCTTGTTTTTTGTGAAGAATTCAAGTGTTTAATACTTAGTTTGTGAAAATTTGAAGGAAAAATATCGAGAAGTCACCCTGTGGACTCTAGCAGATCAGATGCTAGCTTCTTGTCCTGCAATCATGTTCCTGCCTCGGGCTATCTTTTCCAAGCAATGTGAAATGTTGCTCATCAATGTTCTGGATGTTGTAATTTTCATAAAATGTATTTTCAGGTGAAAACCTTTCACTATAATTCACCCTCGGAATAAAGGTTATAGACAAGTGATTGTTGATTAGCAATGGACCAGGTCAGAATCCAATGTCACCAAGTCTGGCTTCTTTGTTAACAGTTGTTGAGCCAAAAGCATTCCGTGTAAATACATGATGGAGCAGCGGAAGCATTTGACCACATTGTTAAAGATTCTCAGGAGAGTGAAAAATATTATCAGCTGTGCATGGTGTATCGTAAAAGATTCTCAGAAGATTGAAAATTTGTACCAGTTGTATAACAAAAGCACTTTTATATTTATCTTTTACTTAGATCCAGTGGCAAGGAGTATGCACTGAAAATCATTGATAAGGCCAAATGCAGTGGGAAGGTAAGAGAAATCCTGATGTCTATTGCATTGCTGCACCAGATCTTACCTGAAGACTTTCCTCTTCGACCATGCCTGTGATCACCTTTCTCTCCCCAGTTCAGTGTTAAATGACCTATTGTTCAATACTTCAAATGCTACCCTTAGTGAAGGGCAAGTTGCTTCAGTCACACGATTAGTTATTTTTGGAAAACATTTAATAAGACATCTGACACCCACAAATCTACCGATTTGTTTAAAAGCCTGGAATACAGTGATAGAGGGCATTTGGGGGTTTTCTGCAGTGACAAAAGTGTCATCTTTAGTGAAGTGGAGTGGTATGAGGCACTCACTACTTCATCTGCATTCTGTTGAAGCTCAGCAATGAGAGAAACCTGGCACAAAATGCAGTAAAATTCCAATTTGGTACTAAGCCACAATTCTGGCACAGAGTCAGCCAGTGTTATACTGGCTTAATGGTCTCATCAAACAGTAATATAACAGCGAACTGGGCTTTCATTAAAGGACAGTCTGAGTCTTTGAATTTTTCAGGAATGCTTCATTTTCTCTACGACCTCTTGGACTTCTGTCTCACTTTTTAGTCTCACAACTGATAATCATGACTTAAAGAATCTACATTTTACTTTTATGGCTTTGGGAGAGTGTATGTGGGGTGCATGTTGTGCACCACAGTTTCTTATTGTATTAGGTATCTTTGTTTTTTGATGTCTAATACAAGATCATGCAATTGGTTCAGATAAAGAAGGCCCTTCAACACATTTGAACTCATTCTCCCAGAATACCCACCTACTTATGATCCTCCCAACACAGCCTCAAGATGTTTTTTTTAAATGACTAGAGTCCTGGCTGCAATCACCATTTCATTGCAGTTCCAGTTCCAGTGTTCCAGCTTTTAAGAAGTATTTTTTGATGGCTGTCCTAAATTGCCCTTGGTGGCCCTAAACCCGTGTTCTGCTATGTGAATGCATCCCAAAATATTATTCTGTGTTAACTTGCTTAATTCCATTACAAAATCTAGTGCACCTCTATAAAATCCCCTCTGTGAGGTGTTTTTTCAAGAATGAAAAGCCCAATCATTGCTCATAGCTCATTCTTTTATATTTTATATTCTATATATATTATATATTATAGTGAAAATCATTGCACATAGCTCATTCAATGATATATTATAGTGAAAAGCTCTATATCAAATGCAAGGATTATTATTATTATTCCTCCAACACTGGGGATCAAGCACAACATACAACTACTTGCTATACTGAAAGTGCTGATCCTCTCTGCAACTTGGCTGATTTGCAATATGATGTTTCAGATTATTTTGGCAGTATGAGAGACCATTGCAGTATTTCTCTTGATCTGAATGGGATGTGGAGGTGTGCTGCCTGTGCTGCAATTTGCCTTCTAACAGTAATATGTCAGCATGGCCTCACTGTTCTCATTGCTGTGAGATCTCGACATTATGTTTTGACATTTAGGAGCACCTGATTGAGAATGAAGTCGCAGTCCTGCGGAAGGTCAAACATCCCAATATCATCATGTTAATCGAAGAGGCGGACACACCCACGGAACTGTACCTGGTGATGGAATTAGTCAAGGTAAGAGGGTTTAAGAGATTGGAAGTTACACAACACTGCCCTCAATAAATAAAGGATAGTAGGAATCAGCGGGCTAAGCCCTTGTGTAGAGAAACTTGTTTATTTTACCACAATAGTGTTTGATAAAGTGCACTCTATGCGATCAATATGTGGTTATTTCTAATGACTCGACAATAATCGAAATTTGTTGTTCAAAATTGATCATTCTTTTCACGGCTGTTCGTGGGACAATGCTGTGCACAAATTAGCTGCCACATTCGCCTACAAATATACAGTCACTACACTTCACAGTGAAATCCCATGAAGTGCTTTGGTATATTGTGACAAAGTGATAAGATGCTATATCACTACAAGGATTAAGATATATTACTATCACATCACTGAGTTTCTTCTCTGGTTCTCAATTCACCCCTTCCTGACAAAATGTTTTAGTATTCAAAAAAACTGTTGTGGAGATGCACTAATAGTTATGGTGAACCACATTATGGCTCCCCCCTACCCCACCCCACCCCCACCACCCTTAATTTAGTTTATTTCCCTTTAACTAATGACTAATTTTCTTCGCCAACATTTTGAACCTTTTTATTTAAAGAAAAACATACAATGCTCATATTAAATTCCGATTATTTTGTCTCTTCAATCTCAAATGAAACCTTATCCTGAAAACAATTACACAGTTGAAGGCTGTTTACAGGAGCTTCATGATGAAAATGTAATTGTCCCCATCAAGCAAAAGCCATCAGTACCAGTATATTAGTAATAAAGTGGCTCCCGAGGGAGAGCCACCTATTAATCCCATCTCTGTTAACTGCCATCGACCACATTAAAGATGTTGCATTTATTAAACTAGGGTTATATGCAAGAGTGTTTTATCTGCATGTCCATGGTTATTTAATGTGCCCCCTCTGGATTTTACCTTCAATTATGCTCTGCTTTTTATTGCTGTGCAATGGAAGCTCACTTTCCAGCACATGCTACACCATAGGCAGTGTGTGGAGACACTGTTTCTAACATTGCATTGGAAGGAAAAATGAAGAGTAGCCCCTGATCAACCCCAACATGGGTTGTTTTGTAATCTCTTCATTCCTAATGAATAAACAGATATTGTACATGTCATTAACTGATAAGAAAAAGGATATTGGAGAAGGAATGTCAGGTGCAAGGGTTATTTCTAAATTTATCTTCCTAGTTAAGTTTTTTAAGAAATCAATATCTGGTACCACTGGTGGTCTGAGGTATCCCATTAGGTTCATCATTTGGCAGCAATCAGTGAAAGATGCCATTTGCCGGGTTTGGGAATCGAGATAATTCTTTGAATGTGGAATTCTGGTCACACACAGAAACATTCAATATATAGACAAGTTATGGCCTTTGTGTTCAATATGATTAACGTTCCCTGCAATTATTCGCTGAGCAGTCCTGAACGTGACTTTGCAGCCTGGTGTCTTAGTGGGAAGGCAGCTGGGAGGGTACTTTGAAAGGATGAGATCAAAGTGAAGCCCTTCTTCGTCTAAAGCTCCCTTGTGGTTTGTGAATGGTTTTGATCAGGTAAATAAAAAAGACTGTTTCCACTGATTGGCAAGTCAGTAAAAAGAGGGCACGCATTACCTTACGGAAAAGGGAGAGGAGGTTATAAGATTTTTTTTGTGTGTGTTTAAATGATGAATGCTTAATCACAGCGTCTGTTCATAAAAAGCACATAAAAGGGAATTCGACAAGGAGGAAAAATAATATTGGCGGGATCAGGTAATCTCAAAGCGCTTCACAGAATATTCAGAAAAGTGAATGGGATTATAGCTCCATTGGTTGGGTCAAGATTGGAAAAGAAGGCCTTTTGGCCCATCCGATCTCATCCACCCAGGACACCCACCCTGTCTCCCAATCACTACATCAAGCTGCTTTTTAAATGATTGATAGTTTATTGGTTGTACTTTTTGCAGTCTCTTTATGCTCTCTGTTTGTTGTGCTGGCAGGGCGGAGACCTGTTCGATGCCATTACATCATCTACAAAGTACACAGAGCGGGATGCCAGTGCCATGGTGTACAATCTGGCCAGTGCTCTCAAGTACCTGCACAGCCTCAACATTGTGCATAGAGACATCAAGCCGGAGAACCTACTGGTATGTTATCAGCTATGAGAGAAGTACAATAAGCGATGCTATTGTATCTGCGTGCTGGAAATGAATGGCGAAGAACCAGCAAATTGTTCAATGATCATTTTATCAAGATTGAACAAAGTGTCAGAAAGATTATTTACTCACATTATACCTGGCTCCGTTGGTAGCCCTTTCATGACTGAGTCAGAAGGTTGTGGGTTCAAGCCCCATATCGGAACTTTAAACTCTCAAAGTCTAAGCTGATACTCCAGTACTTTGCTGGTGGTGGGGGGAGGGGGGTTGTAGTCAGAGGTGCCATCCTTTGGATAAGACGTTAGAGATCCCATGAAAAGAGAAGGGAATTGCTCCTGGTGTCCTGGATAACAATCCCCTGGATAAAAAAAAATGTATTCACTTTACAACTGTTTGAGAGACATTGCTGTGCTACATTGCTACTGCATTGCCAAATCTACAAAGTCCACCCGAAACTAAAAATTACCTAAAAATACAATCACTACATTCTCCAGAAAACTCTTTGAAGCACTTTGAATAAACCATGTGCAAACATTTTATGGGTTGTAACCACATATTTAAAAGAACTTGTAAATCCCTCTGTCCGCACTGGTTTACACATTTTTTATACAACTCACATAACGGAAAAATAGTGTACTTTTGCGCATGATATGCACAATGTGCTTAATGGACATCCACATGAATAAATAATAATCATTGCTTTGGTGTCATCACATCATTGAAATGTTGTGTAGGCTACCGTGAATTATAGGTGAATGCGGCAGCCAATTTTTGCACAGCAATGGCCACAAATAGGCATACAAGACCAGAATTTAATGAATTTAACATGCCCTTCACCCTCCCCCATCCCGACTCCCAGCTCGGGTCCGTAACTTTGTCTGCCCAGCGCCTTGGGACGTCCTCCCGACGTGAAAAGCGTTATGCAAATGTAATTTTTTTGTTGTTGTTGTACATCTGTGTTATACTGGTTGCTGTCTCTCTGTGTTCCATTGGCTGTACATCTCTCTGTGTCACACTGTTACACTTACTAGCTATGTCTCATGTAAGAGAAGAAAGGAAGAGACTGAGCTCAGAGAATCAAGTGAGCTGAGAGTATATGAGAGAGAAAGAGAGAGAGAGATGGGGGGAGGGTTAGGTTTCTAACCAGCTATCTTCAGTGACCTGTTCAAATGCTGTTAGCCTGTTTTCACATTCCCTAAGGCTATCTGGAAGCACTCTTGTTAACCTCCTACATTTTGAACCCTTGCTGAACCTTCCTGTTCTTTACTACACGAGGTATCTGAGACAAAAGGACAGGTCACTGTTCCGAATCCGACTCTACAGTAGAAATGAACGAGTGGTGAGGCAAGCCCTTCTCGAAGTCTGATGCTTTGTGACAACCTTTCCCCAGCCATTGTTTTACTTCTGATTATAAAGACAGCCCAAACTTTACCATTCTCGTTCAGATGCTCACTGACCCACTATTCATTTTGTATTTTTATTTGAGATTTTCCAGGCATTTGAAGCGTTTCTCATGATATTTTTAGGTAACAGGCACCAGCGTAAATAGCTCGTCTCATTCTATTCATGCGCCTAATGTTCAGCTGCTTTATGTAGGGTGACCACAAAGTTGTGATATCATTACAATGTCTAATAAGTCTTAAAGAAATGATGATATTTTAATTTTATTTTGGATAATAGGGTAGATATCACGACTTTTTAGTCACCATGTAGAAGAGGAGTATTCAGTATATAAATATAACAGCACAGATTATCCAAATAGGAACTGCTTCTCGACTTCACTAAGCATTGAATGCAAACTATCCAAAACTCTGCAGCCTGTATCCTCTCTCATACCAAGATCGTAATCCTATCACTCTCATCCTTGCTCGACTCCACTAACTCTCCATCCCCCAGTAGATTGAATTCCAGATCTTCTTTTGCTCCACTGTTTCGCCCCACTTTACCTCCATAACCTCCTTCAACCCTAGCATCCTGGTGTTCCCTTCATTCAGCAAATCCCAACCTGCTTTATATTCCCCCGTCAGAACCACCCCACCACCCAGTCAGTCTTTCAGCCATTCTGCTCCTTCTCTCTGGAACTCCATCCCGGAGTCCCTCCGATTTGCTCCCTCCATCATCTCATTCAAGATCTGCCTCAAGACCTACCTCTTTGACCGTGCTTTCGGTCATTTATTGCCCTCCTCACCCCCTTCGTCTCCCACCCCCAGCTCGGGTGCCTCGCCAGCAGTGTCAGAAACTTTGAGCCATCCATTCAATGTGAAAGGTAAATACAAATTGTACTGTGTTGTACCTTGACGCAGAGAGCTTTTCAGATTACAGTATAAAGATTCAGTCAATACCGGCCCTTCATTTAAAAAAACACTTTCCGGAATTATTTCCCACTGTTTGTCCAGCAAGGAATAACCGAACCTGTTCATGCAACGGCTTGCAGGGTTTTCAGAGATCCAGAGGGAAGTATCCCAGCCCAGTCACATGACCTGTAGCATAATGGCATCGTGAAGTACTGGAGCGTATTGGTAAGAGCACTTGCTTTGCAAATGAGAGGATCTAAGTTCGATTCCCGGGCGGGGAGAAACCTTCAGCAAATTTCCTTATTTCAAATGCCTCTGCTAACCTAGTAGCAACTAGGAATCCAGTCAATGGGTAGATCACTTTCCGGGGTTAATAATCCGTTTTTAAAAAAATTTGGGTCAATCACTGTTTATGGGACACTGCTGTGTACAGTTGGCTGCCGTGTTTCACCCACAAAATATACAGTCAATTCACTTTACAGAATATTCCGTGAAGCCCTTTGAGATGTCCCAACAAAGTGATAAGACACTATCAAATACAAGGATTATTATCATTATTATGTCTAACCCTCTTCATTGATGCCATGAAAGTTACAACAACAACTCACATTAATATAGAGGTCTTTACCCCGGATGACATCTCGGAGCACTTACCACAATAATCCCCCACTGCCACCACCAGATCATACTATCACTGTAATGCTTATGGCGTCTAGAAGCATGTCCTAGTTTAACGCAAATGCAGCCTGTAGTACAGCCCTGCTGAGTTGACCTCAATCCATGGAGCCTAACAACGAGCTCTCTGTAGCTCTATCAGCGCCATAGTGCGCTTACTAAATAAAATCACATTAACTTCAAAGCAGAGCATCACATCCAATTTCAACATCATATGTGTCCAGATTTTCAGCCCGGGACAGCAGTGACGTTAACAAAACGGTCGATAAGACATGCTCCAGCGCCTTGGGACGTCATCCCGACGTGAAAGGCGCGATACAAATGTAATCTTGTTGTTCGTTGTTGTAGTGGCCGGACAGAATACCCGTTCTTTTAACAAAATTCTGCAAGGTCCATCCCGACACTCTGCAGACTCACCCACAGACCAGAAATCAATGGCAAGTTCCATCTGCTCACTTGAGTGAATAGACTGAAGGTTAAAAGCAAAGGTAGCCGCGAAACACATTGGCGGACGCACTGCAGTGGCTGCTCGGCTGATTGAACACTGGAAAATCAGAATTGGCTTCTACCTAAGACCACCTAATGCTTGTTCCTTTTATGGTATAGAGTGGGAAATGGCATCTGCTTCCACTTCACCCCACTACAGATTGTATATATATCACAAGGGATACTTCGCTTGTGGTAGCCATGGAAACAATACAGGTGCGCTTACTGAATAAAATCACGTTAACTTCAAAGCAGAGCACCACATCCAATTTCAGCATTTTGTCCAGATTTTCAGCCCGGGACAGCAGTGAATGTTAACAAAACGGTTGATAAGACAAAGTTTACCTTCACATTTAGGTGTCAGCCTGGCTCCGTTGGTAGCACTCTGAGTCAGATGCTTACGGGTTTCAGTCTCACGTCGGGACTTTGAGCTCACAGTCTAGGCTGACACTACAATCCAACGCTCAGGTGTACAGCCAGTGTAACACAGAGAGATGTACAGCCAGTGTAACACAGAGACTGTACAGCCAGAGTAACACAGAGACTGTACAGCCAGAGTAACACAGAGAGATGTACAGCCAGTGTAACACAGAGAGATGTACAGCCAGTGTAACACAGAGAGATGTACAGCCAGTGTAACACAGAGAGATGTACAGCCAGTGTAACACAGAGACTGTACAGCCAGTGTAACACAGAGAGATGTACAGCCAGTGTAACACAGAGAGATGTACAGCCAGTGTAACACAGAGAGATGTACAGCCAGGGTAACACAGAGACTGTACAGCCAGTGTAACACAGAGAGATGTACAGCCAGTGTAACACCAAGCCACTTTGAATAGCACCATGGGATCTTTAACGTCCACCTGAACAGGCAGATGGGCCTTCGGTTTAACGTGTCGACCGAAAGACGGCACCTCTGACAATGCAGCACCACGCCTCCCTTCCCCCAGCACTGCAATGGAGTGTCAGTTTAGACTATGTCCCAACATGCGGTTTGGACCCACAACCTTCTGACTCAGAGGCAGGATCGCTCCCACTGTGCCAGGCTGACGCATGATTACTGTGTAATTACTGTAAAGCACTTTGAGACACTTCAATATTACAGACGCTGTTTGAAATGTCAGGATCATTACTATTATTATGATTTAAAAGGGACGGACAATGCATCCTCTCAATCTGTACACTGAGCATCAGTGCGACATACACTTGCTGCCTGTCACCCACTTTCCATATTATTTTAGGCATTTGTTTCCTGTGCTGCATTACTTGAGTTCTGTATTCAACAACAAAAACAACAACTTGCACTTATTAGCGATTGAGTAATCCAGGCGGGAGATGGCAAATGCATGCACGAGGGTTTCGGCCTCATTTGGGGTAAGGTACGGTCGGAGGTGGGCAATGTGGCGGAGGTGGAAGAAAGCGGTCCTGGTCAGGGCCCATATGTGGGGGAGGAGGGACAGCTGGGGATCAAATCGGACGCCTAGATTATGCACTGGTTTGGTAAGTGTGAGGGACGGGCCAGGAAGGTTGAGGAATTCAGTCCGCAGGAGTGAAGATGTTGGAATATGGCTTCCGTCTTGTCCACATTCAGCTGCCGGAGGTTTGCACTCATCCAGGCCCTGATATCTGACAGAACATCGGCAGACCTGGAGTTTGTACTGGAGGAGGCAAAGTAGATTTGTGTGTCATCACAAACATGTGGAAGTTTACCCTGTGTTTGCGGATGACATCGCTCAGAGGGAGCATATAGATACTGAAAAGAAGAGGGCCAAGGATGGAGCCCTGGGGTATCCCGCAGGCGACCAGGCGGGAGGAGAAACCATTTGCCGAGATGAGATGGAGATGGTTGGTTAAGTAGGACTCGAACCATGTGAGTGTAGTCTCACTAAGGTGGATCAGGGAGGAGATGCGGTGGAGGAGGATGTTGTGGTCGACTATGTCGAACATGCAGAGAGATCCAGGAGGACCAGGAGGCAGAGGGAGCCCTGGTCATAGATAGAGAGAATGTCGTTTGTGACTTTGACAAGCGCTGTCTCTGTGCTGTGGGCAGAGTGAAACCAGGCTGCAGGGGCTCGAGGAAGGAGAGGTGTGACCGAAGTTGACCTGCAACAATGCAGTGCAGGACATTGGCAAGGAAGGGTAGGTTGGAAATGGGATGATAGTGTGAGAGATTAGAGGGTTCAAGGGTGTTTTTTTTGTGGAGGGGTGTGACAACAGTGGTTTTCGGGGGGAGTGGAACAGTACCTGAAGAGAGAGACTGGTTGACCATGTCGGCCAGCAGTGGGGAGAGGAGGGGGAGTTGAGTGACCAGCAGCTGGGTGGGGAGGGGGTCGAGACAGCAGGTGGTGAACTTCATGCGGGTGATTGTGGTTGAGACGGAGGAGGGAGAAATGGGGGCAAAGGAGTGTAAGGAAAAAAAATAATAAATTGGTCTCTTCAATCACGACTGTCTGTGGGACACTGCTGTGCGCAATTGGCTGCCGCATTTCGCCCACAAAATATACAGTCAATTCACTTCACAGTATATTCTGTGAAGCGCTTTGAGACGTCTCGAAGACGTGATAAGGCGCTATATCAAATGCAAGGATTAGTATTAAGAGGGGGGAGTGGCAGGAGCCGTGACAGAGGGAGAAGGTGGTATGGATGGTCTGGGTGGATTGGAAGGTGACATGGGCGGAGAAGTCGATGCAGTCAAGTGGATGTTTTCAATCTTCGAAGGTTATCGAAGGTGCCAGGTGAGGCATTGAATTATTGTTCGGGTAGATGTTAAGTGGCAGTGCTTTGAAGAGAGGCAGTGAGCTCACCTGGTGTTCTGGTCAACATTGAGTGCTTGGAGAGGTTTGAGCATGCTGTACCAAATGTAGGTTTCATTGTAAAAGGATGAAAATTGTGGTCACAACTGTTGTGGTATCATTGATACAGATTCTGTTTACTGAGGAGGTTATAGTTTGCGTTTTGTTTTTAATAACAGTTGAAATGTAAAACAAAAGAGATTTTGCATTGAGAAACCTCTGAGAGTTGTAATATTTAAGGTAAGAGGAAATTGGTTCTGATTCCTGTTGGCGTTTGCTGTACATTGTGTAGATGTGTGAATCCTGGAGCCAGTCTGTGCTCCCCTCGCCTAATAAACTGGTGGCCAAAATTCCACCCTGAACGTTATTGGTGTAAATTAAGATGGCTGTTGTAATTTGGAAAGTTGATGGGAAAAGAAATGTTAATTGTAAGCACAAAATTCCAGCGCAAGAGAAAATTGCCTACTGAATGACACTGTGAAATTAAATCATATTATCGGAAAGGATATGTGTTCAATAATGGAGAGTTGTCTGCTTTCCTTGCACATTTGTGTGTCAGGCTGGCTCACTCTCGCCTCTTGAGTCAAAAAGGTCGTGGGTTCAAGCCCTATGCCGGGGCTTTGAATCACAAAGTCTAACATAGCACGCCAGTGCAATGGTGGGGGCGGGAGTGCTGCATTGGTGGAAGATTATGCCATCCATCCACTGAAACGTTAAACTAAGATGCTGTCTGCCTGTTTGAATACTAAAGATCCCATGGCAGTATTTGAAAATAGAAAGAGTTTCTCCCGGATTCCTGCCAAAATTCCCGTAGATAAAATGGGTCATTCAAATCAGGGCTGTTTGTGAAACATTACTATATGTAAATTGGCTGCCGCGATCATCTGTAAATATTCAGTCATTACACTTCAAAGTATTTTGAGACATGTTCCTCACATGAGAGTCATTATGACGCAAGCAATTTAATTATAATTTCACTCTCCTGTGGTTCACTCCCTGTCTCCTTTGGCAGGTTTGTGAGTATGAAGATGGCACCAAGTCGCTGAAGTTGGGAGACTTTGGCCTGGCTACAGTGCTGGATGGGCCCCTCTACACAGTCTGCGGTACTCCTACCTATGTGGCTCCAGAGATCATTGCAGAGACTGGGTAAGCAGCGACCAGAAGCCTCTGAGAGTTGTAATATCTAGGGTAAGAGGAAACTGGTTCTGATTCCTGTCGGCATTTGCTGTACATTGTGTAGATGTATGAAGCCTGGAGCCAGTCTGTGCTTCTCTCGTCTAATAAACTGGTGGCCAAAATTCCATGCTGAACGTTACTGGTGTAAATTAAGATGGCTGACATAATTTAGAGAGCTAATGGGAAAAGAAATGTTAACTGTACACACAAAATTCTTGCAAATTCTATCAAAACTGCTTAAAAGAGTTTTTCACAAGGTTAGGGCAGATTTGATTATAAATTGGAAAAGGTTGCCTTTTCCCCAGCGGGTGCTTACATCCATCTCTTTGGAACGCCACAGCTATAGTTTGTATTATTGCTAGTAACGTCCAGAGAACTTTATATAAATACATCCATGCAGAAGATATGAATATATGCCAACAAACTAAAGGCAAAGGACAACCGACGACAGTCATGAATCTGAATGGTAGTAAAAAGATAGAAATGAGAAGCACATGAGGACAAGTTTCGTTAACAATCCAGGCCTCCCCTATTGGAGGTCATTGCTGAAGCCAGGCACGGCTCCACAACCTTAAGCCAAACTCTCATTAGTAACAGAGCATTTGGGTTGGTTCCAGTTTCTCCAAAACTCCTCCAATTCCTCTTTGGGTATGAACAAAGCTCTGGTCAGTTCAGTATTGTCAGTTGCTACATTTGGAAGGGTCCTCCACCTGCCCTCTTCATTAGCTGCTGTTGTGTAGCATCTTCCCAGGAGAAGAAAACAGGCTTGGGTGTCAGTCTGCCTCAGTTGGTAGCCCTCTCATCTTTGAGTTAGACAGTTGTGGTCCCACATTAGGACTTTGAACTCACAGTCAAGGCTGACACTCCAACTCAGTGCTGGGGCTGACCTGCATTGTTGGAGGTGCCATCCTTTGGATGAAATGTTAATGTGAGGTCCCACCTGCTTGTTAAAGTGGATGTTAAAGATCCCATAGAGCTATTTGAACAGAAAAGAGAGATTGTCCTGGTGTTCTGGCCAACCAATCCCCAAATAAAATTGGTCACTCACTTTGTGGCTGTTTGTGGGGACATTGCTGTGCGCAAATTGGCTGCTGCATTCGCCTCCTCCTTTGCCTGGTCCCTTTATTGTAGGGTCATGTACGTACGAAGGCAACTTATCCTGGATCTATTCTTAGAGAGAGCTGCCTTCAGGGGTATTCAGGGATACTTACCAATTCATTGAACTGTTGTGTTCAATAAGGGAATCAGCAGTTTATTAAAGCGCAAATGCCAGAGGGAGCCACAAGTGCATTAGTTCTTCCTGCAGACTCTTTGCACATGAGCTTTTCTTTATTGTTTTGTTTCATGTTAATGTTTTATGTGCGCTCGGTGTACTCAGTGTTCGCTATCCACCCAGGTACAGATTCCTGTCAGAAAGGGGTCTGTTCTTTCTGACCCCAGTAATTCCCTCTGCACCGGCTGTGGTTGATCTGATCCTCTGCTGTTACTATTCTTACAGGTATGGCCTGAAGGTGGATGTCTGGGCTGCGGGGGTCATTACGTACATCTTACTGTGTGGCTTTCCTCCATTCCGCAGGTAAATCTGCAGCAAAATTCAACCCCACCCTCCGCTTCCAGAAATGGCTTGTGATTGTCTAAAATGGGGCACCAATTTGTGGGGCTGCCAAATTATGAGAGAGGGTGGGGGGTGGTGGGGGGGTGGGGGAGAACAAGCCAAAAAGCATCAAACATCACATTTAAAAACTTTGTTGAGTTTAAATGGAACTTATGAAGTAGATGCACAAGATGGTAAGTCTCAGAAGCCAATCACAGGGACACACAGGAAATTTCCCATATTCCCATCCCCTGCCCCTCATCTCCTTTAATCTTCAATGCTCTCTGTCGTCTAACAGCTATTATAATATAATATGATAATCCTATTACATATGTGAAGCACTGACAGACGTTTCTTAGGAGTCGATCAAACCCGAGGAGGTTCCGACAAACTGGAAACAAGCAAACGTGGTTTCGGTTTTCAAGGACAGAGACAGGAACAGAAATGTACCTGATATTGTCCAGGAACATTCATTAGTCTGAACAGTTCATTGGAAAAATGTTAACGGAATCAACCATTAGAAACAAAATGGCAGATTATCTGTACAAAAGTGATAACCATAATCCTTGGTTATAGCACCTTATCATGTCATTGAGACGTCTCAAAGAGTTTCACAGGATACACTTTAAAAAGTAACTTACAAAATGGCAACCAACATGGCTATAAAGGGGCTTGACTTTGTCCGATCAGCCTCACAGTCTTTTTGTGGAGGGTAAACATCAAATTAACAGTGGGGAAGGATGTCATATAGTACACCCAAGCTTCCAAAGGGCATTTGATGAAATAGCACCTGAGAGACTCCTTACAAACTGGTGTTGCCGATTACCAAGTATAATAATAATAATAATCCTTACATTTGATAAAGCACCTGTCAAGTCTTCAGGACATCTCAAAGCGCTTCACGAAATATACTGTCGAGTAAATTGACTGTGTATTTTGTGTGCGAAACAACAATGTAAACGATTGACGTGATTCAGTACTGGCTAAAGGAAAGGAAAGACAAGAGTCATTAGAGGAGCTAGGTCTCAATGAGCGGAGATATTGAGTGGAGCACCAGCCTGTGCTGGGAGTCCTCCTGTTTTTGTCTACAAAAATTCAGAGCGAGTAAATTAAGCTATGGGGATTCTGGCATCAATCTACTACCTTCCTCCCAATCACTGTAAGCTTTAGGAATGTCATAAAATATTTTGTGTAAAATCACCCTCAAATTATTTCCACGTCAGCTATTGACAGGGATAGTGCAATTACACAGTTTTGGAATATTCTGCACATTATCAGGGAGAGGCCGAGACCCTGGAATAAAAAGCTCCATCTGATATGCAGGAAGGTCTGGGAGAACTGAACGAGTTGGAAGACGTGGTTTCCCATCGCTCCAGAAATAATCCTATTATTCTGTTCCCGCAGTGAGAACAATCTCCAGGAGGACTTGTTTGATCAGATTCTCATTGGGCGGCTGGAGTTTCCCTCTCCCTATTGGGACAACATCACTGGCTCAGCCAAAGTACGTACAATACAATAAAATACAACTTAGATGGTGCCTTTCATGTCAGTAAGATGTCTCAAAGTGATCTACCCTGCTGGCTGGGAACCCAAACTGTTGGGGGGGAGGAGGGGAGGATTGACCCCAAGTGGGCTTTGAAGGTAGGAAGGGAGGGGGGAGACGGACGGCAACATGAAGGAAATAACATCAGCAATGATCTGATGGCACGGAAATCGGCTATTTTCTCACCCGTCACTTATAAGGCAGGCTCTGAGATACTGGACCCTGAAATTGCCTGCAACAAATCCTTCCAATTAACCAGCAATTTATTGAAGTAAATTTCTCATTGAATTCTGGCTTCTAAACAGAAGGTATTTGTTTCTGGCGAGTTCAAACTTGGTTCATAGTTATGATGAGAGCGCAAGGTGGACAAAGTGCCGTCAACTCATGTTACCCAGAGGGAGAGCCGGAGGGAGAAGGTGCAGTGTTACAGTTGAATTGTTTCTCTACAAAGCAGCACGTGTTTCAAACGGCTTGGCAGAGCTTTGTTTATTAACGATTCACATCTTGAGTGAGTGTGAGCAGGGTGCAGGGCTCTCAACCCAAAAGCAATTTAGTGACTCTATTGATCAGTGAATGGTGGACAGATTGGGGTCTGTTGAGTCTAGATCTTAGATGCTCCCCCCCCTCCCCAACACCCTCAGCACCTTCACAGACGTAGATACACACACAGTGATGAGAGCAAACTTCGGAAACTCTGTCAGTCAAACTAGCATTACGGGAGAGAGAACGCTGCTGCTTTCTGGGAGAGAGCAGGACCAAGTATCAAAGCATCAAAATGGAAACTTTTAGCAGATTTCTTCACAGCGAGTGCTGCCACCTGTGTTTATTTCCTGTTTTGGTGAAACACTCTATGTGTTACCAGTGGACTTTTGGTAGACAGAATAGCAGCAGGACTGGCCTAGACACCGCTGTCTCTCAGTCTCCAGGCCTCGCCTCACCTACAATTATTTCCAGCTTCTTTCCCACTTACTGCGATTGCACATTTCAATGCTGTCATTTTGTTGCAGGAATTAATTGGTCGAATGCTACAGGTAAACATCGAGGCTCGATACACCGCTGAGCAAGTTCTGACGCATCCCTGGGTGGCTGTGAGTATGGAGGTGGTGAACCACGGGGTATCTGTGCCTCCTGAGTGAGGTGATGGCAAGTGCACCTGGGGTTATGCTGATGGCCTCATTCAGTGACAGGAGTGAACTGTGTGATAAGACGTTGCTTTTCCTCCTGGCCAGGCAGTGCCAGAACTCATGCTCATTGCAGATACAAACTGATTTCAGGTAAAAAAAAATACCACTGGATGAACTGGCTCCAAGGTGACATGTTTGACAACGGAATGTCAGAATCGAGCGAGCCCTCTTGACGGTCTCAGTAGTCCAGGTCCTGAGCCAGGCAGGTTCACAGTATTGCAGGGCACTGCTGATGACAGCACAGGGCAGACCAGTCACTGAAGGCAGGGACTCTTCCCATTCAGCTCCCATTCAGTTCCCGATAACCCTGCAAGCCAAAGCCCTCATGAGTAGCGTGGTCCTAGCTGGACAATCAGTGGGAAAGCTTGCCAGACAGCGCTTTCAATGGCAAGCTACATGGTTTTAGCTGGTTATTCTCCAGCAGTACCCCAACGTCCACAGTCACCATGAGTTTTAAGTCCAAGGTTTGCTTAGCGTGACACTGAACAGCGTACCTCAAACTGTTTGGTGACACTCTTTGTGGATGGTTTGTGTTGTGATGCAAAACTGCTCTGTGGTCCATTCCATGGATACACTCGTGGTGGTGAGGGACGGGGGTGGGGGGGGGGGTGTTGAGAGACGGGCGGGAGGGTGTAAGATGAGCCACTGGGAGTAATGGTCGCTTCCTGTCTGCAGGACGACACAGCACAAGAGAGAGACATGCAGGTCGCAGTAACCGGCAAGCTCAGAAAGCACTTTAACCCAACGGCAAAGCAGAGCAATACTGCGGCAAATGTCAGCGTGATTATGGTAAGTGGGACACACACACGCGCACACTCCACACACTCGAGAGTGCCTCACATGACTCGAGTAGGCTAAAGCTTACCACCTCAGCTCCAACTGGAGTAGGAACTTCCCTGAGAGTGCCCCTAGAGTGAGGTTTACCGTCTAGCTGTAGGAGGGAGCTGCCATACTGGCTCAGGATAGGGAACGGTAACCAATAGCAACCCGCCTCACTTTCTCCGGGAGTGTAAGAGGCTTGTCTTCACCCTCAGGCAGACAGATTGAGACTGTGGCAACATGTCCTGTCGTCAGTGCTACCTCAGGCTGACGTTCTGGGCACTGTTACCTGTAGCGACTTTAATGGTGAGAGGGAGTCCCATTAGAATACCAGCAGGCCTGATCAGCCACATCACAGCCAACTGACCTTTGAGATCCATCAATTCATATTTTACCTCTACAAAGGGTAAAGTTTTAAAGAGGTGGAGGGGATTTTGTGGGGAGGACAGGTCCTTGGTGTATATTAAAGGAGGGAGACTCAAACCTGCAGTGGAACACTGACCAGTCTCGTTTCCCCCCTCCCCCCCACCCCCACGCCTACTTTTGGTTTGTTGATCTACGAGCATCTAAAACTCAACCACTGCAACCAGGGTTCACCACGGATGGGAACTGGAAGCTGGTGACCCTGACCTGTGGGAATTATGCTCTGGTGAGATACACTTCTGGGCGTATGGGAGCTGAGTTCCCTCCGGTTGTGTAACAAACTTTGAATATATTATTGATTGTTCTGCTGGTGAATTTCCATTACCAGAACGAACAAGCAGCACATACGCATATACACACAGAGAAGGAAAACAATTGCTATTGATAAGAGAAAAAAATTATTAAATCCACTGTATTTTTTTCCCCTCGCAAATTTTCTCCCTCCTTTACCATTCTAAATTTATGTGACTCTATATTCCCTCTACCAGGGTTTGGTTCCAAAGACAACCTCAGCTACTTTGTCCATTTTCATGAACCTTGACATTTGACCACATTGGGCATCACCGAGGATACTTTCCTGCTCGATGTTCACACATTACATACCTCGAGCAAGGCTTGCTAGGCAGCAATGGAAAGATTGGCTGATTCTCCCTTTCCTTACCCAGGACAATAAGGCCAGTTTCAGGGGCCGCAATGCTGGTATGACAAAGATCAGCTACTCCAGCATAGCTCGGATGTCAAAAACTGGCAAATTAGGATCGCACTTTCCAGAATTCTGCCCGGTTTTAAATTTTAAGACAACCCTGTCTTACATGTTAAGGGTAGATGGAATTTCGGGTATCCAATCACTAACCAGAGGTGCCCACTGGCAGGACGCATGGGGGTGGGATGGGGGGAGGTGTGGTTTTGGGTGGGTGGGGGAGAGAGTTGTGTGAGACCAAGATTGGCTTCTGCTGTGATCTTCCTTCCCCCAGTGGCACTCACTGTCACGGCTCAGGGGTGAATAGAGACCGCTTGGGTTAGGTACGGTGTAGGCCACTAGTGGGTGGAGACAGATCCCAATATGAGTCAGAACAAGAGAAAATTGGATTTTTTTTTGCAAAAGACAAATGTCAATAGCAATTAGATTAAATTTTTCATATTGAAAGGCTTGAATTGTTTAACCCACAAATCTCACATGTTCCCTCCCTCACCACATTCCTAATATTTTCTTTCATTCTCCTGACTGTTGGTTGAAGATCCATCTGGTTATACAGGGACTTACGCCTCCTCGCCCTTCCCCACCCCACTCCCCTTGCCCCCAGCTGTCAGCACCTGATACAGCATAGTGTAATGGATTGAGAGCCAAAATCAGCTCCACTTCCCCTGATGTGGAATTTGACCACATTGGGCATCATACACACTATGCCATACCCAGCAGCTGCCTGACACCTGGCAACATATCTGACCTTCACGGGCAACCCTGAGTCCTTCAGCTCCCCAGGTGCCTCCTCAGCTGGGGCCCCCAGTGGCCCACGGTATCTCACAGAGACCAATCACATATCTCACCATGACTAAGTCTTGCACCTCAAAGAAAAACAAGCTGGTAACTCACAGAGACCAAGCTGGTAACTCACAGAGACCAAGCTGGTAACTCACAGAGACCAAGCTTGTAACTCAGACGCCTGACCTCCTTCCGCCTCCCCTCCACCCCCATCCCTAGTCAGTAATAGTACAGAGCAGTTTCATAGTTTCATAAACTGTAGTGACGGGATGTGCCGGTGTCTGCTCTATTTCCCATGTAATGTCCCATCCTCAACTTGACTCGGGCCAGGTTGGGAAGGGCTGAGTGTGTGGAATGGCCAAGCAGGATGGTCTCAGTGAATCTCTAACCTACAGCAGTTCTTCCGAATCTGGCCTGACATCTGTTTTGTTTGTGTGCATTTCATGTCTTTCGACAGTTTGAAGTGTAAAGAGGGAGAGGTTAAAGCTCGATTCCTCGTCCTGAGAAACTGGAAAAACCCTGAAGGACACCATGGTATAGAATGCAGTGCTAAAACCGGGGAAGCTGGTCACTAACTCCCAGCCCATTCTAAATCTGCATGGCCCATTGCCTTGTGCCTCACAGCTCTTACCTACGCTTTGCCAGTTGGCTGGACTTCACACGGCGTGGACCAGACTGATGCCCCTGTGTAACCGGAGAGTGCAGAGCTTTCTTATCCCTTGTCTAGATGCTGGATTAAACTCATTTTCCCCCCACCCACCTTCCCCATCCCTCCCAACCTGCTCAAGATTCAAAGCACCACAAAAACCCTGGACTTCTGGACATTTGAAAGTCTACCGCTCGATAGATCTCAGGTGGACTTTCAATCGGAAAGGCCAAAGTTGTGGAAACAGATTCCATGTCTGAACAAGGGCAAAACGTGGTTTAGGACAAGTCGTAGGAGAAATGTAACATTTCACAAATTAATGGAAGAAAATCCAGACCTTCCCAATAGGAATCCAGCCTGAAATAGTGTGGAATAGGTAGAATGGTCCTGAAGTTCCATCTAGTGGTAGAAATCAGGAATTACAGCTGTCAAAACTTAGAAGCTTTTGTTTGCTTTCCTTCAGGCTGTGCCTCCTTTTTTTTTAAAAAAAGTTTTATTTATAGCTCTATTTATTGGCCTTGCATCATGTATTTTCTTCATGTAAGCGCTTGGTTCTCTACGATGTGAGCATGTGCGCACAGTGATGAATTTATTATGGACTGTGAATTTTTTTTGTAATTATGGTGATGTCTGTATTGAGCTTATCGAAAGCTAACCGAATGTACTCAGCCCTGGTTAAAGGGCAGTTCTAGAGAACCAAGCATTTTTCATGTTACAAGGAGGTGTTCTTTAGTGGAGTCCATTAATACTGTTCGGCAACATAGGTTGGAAAACACAAAAGATGAGAAATTCCACCTGGGTCTAGGTTTACTCTTATTTCATTAGCATTTCATTGTGGGGAATTTAGCAAATTCTTAAATACAGCTTTTAATTTTAAGACATTTTTTCTGTAAGTTATTTTAAGAACTATAGAGGGATATCTTCAAAGTTGAGACTGAGTTCAACAATTCTCCGAATTCTGGACACTCCAAAATGTTAAGAGTATAGAGTCAATCTTGTTCCTGGTGGAATTTCTGGTAGTCTAATAACAGGCAGAGATGACATATTCCGGGGAGGATAGTGTTGGGTAAAGAGAACTTCCTTCACTTTCTCGTTAAATGTTTTAAGTACAGTTGTCTGCTTTCAAAATGAAAAGGGACAAATATTCTTAATTTTGTGCAAAAAATCAGCGTAAAAACTACAGTAACTACATAAAAGAGGAGAGTGACAGAATTCAGATGAGCTCCGCTCCAGGTCCACTGTCTTTGCTGGATAGTGTTGAGTTTTGATGCATTCAGTGAAATGTCTGGATAGGAATGTGTAAGACACGCAGACAGTAATGTTAAACCGTTCACAGTGCTACCTGTAAACTGATTGAAGAGTTGCCCGCAGTCACGGTGGTAGTATTTTTTAATATAAATCTGTATAAACATGTATTAGAAGTATGACTAGTCTCTATCCCTGTGCTTCTTCCCTCCCGTCTCTGGCCTGCATCTGCATTGCTTCTCTCTGAGTAGATCCAAGGCAATGGTATGTACTAACTGCATTGGCGCTGCTTTGATCTGCTGCACGCATAAGGACTCTGCTGCTTCCTTTTTAAAACAATTTTCAACGTGGGAAAAGGAGAACTGATTTGTTCAAGACTGACTGAGTTCTCCTGCATGCTTTCCAACCCGATTAGTTCCGTGTTCACCCTGAATATTTTTAACCCAAAGTAGTCGAAGTGTGTTCTACATTTCCTTATACTTGGAGATGTGCATTCAAAGAATATTGTGCAAGGAGGTGTGCATTACTAGGCGCTGGGTGGTGTGGTATGAATATCCATATTAAGACGGCCTTTGACTTGAAGTTTAGTCTTTTGGCTCCATTGTGCTCAATGATCATGTTCTCCATCGTATCAAGTACGATTGAAACGCACAAAGCGTAGCCCACAATGGACACTGTCTTCATCAAAAGTGTTTGGCAAACCTTGTTTATGGGCACAGGATACAATGAGATACAATGCATCTAAATAATTCCTTGCACCATTGTCATGTGACATTAAATCACTCACTCTGCTTTTGGCTGTTCCCCCCCCCCCCTCCCCCCACCCCCGCTCCATCTCTCACATTAAACAAGATTTATTGAGTGCTCTTTCACAGAAGCAGGGCCCCTTTAAGGTAGCAAAGACAGGCCTTGTTGAAATACAGAGGTCCTACACTGTTGGTGTCATTGTACATGAGCATTGGGTTCTTACAGTGAGCGTTTGGAGCTGGAATGGTTTCCAGGTTCAGTGTGGTGTTATGCACCAGAGGTTCATTCTCTGTTGCCTTAAGTGATCGGATTTAATAATAATAATAATAATCTTGCATTTGATATAGCACCATAGCGTGTCTTCGAGACGCCTCAAAGCGCTTCACAGAATGCATTCTAAAGTGGATTGACTGTATGTTTTGTGGGTGAAACGCGGCAGACAATTGCACACAGCAGTGTCCCATAAACAATCGCGGATTAAGGTAGCAACTTGAGTACTTCAAACTGTGCTGAGAAGTAAAGAAAGCACAAGGTCTTATTATTATTATTATTGTTATTATTATTATTAAGGTTCCTCTTAAATCTGCTTAATTTAAAATGAAAACCTCATTGGAGAGTTGCGCTGAATTGCTTCAAATGTGTAACTTCCACACCTGAAGGTGAGTCATATAAGTTTATTTTGTATCAAAGCAGGAAGTGCCTGATTGTACGCGTTTCCCTTTCACACATGGGCCCATTACACCTTATATCATGCCCACTGTTCTCGGTGATCAGACAGATTCCATCTCTTAAACCTGGTACCAAACAGGAGCCCTGGCTGCAGGCTCTGCCCAGAGCTAGATTTGTCGTGCTCTGCTCTCATTGCCCGCTTACCCATGTACATGAACAGTCCCAACAATGTGCACCTCTCAGCTAATCTCAGGATAAGAACATAATCCAACCCAGTTTATCTCAAATCATTATCAGTGCTGCTCAGGATATTCTCTCTTGGGGGGCGGGGGGGGGGGGGGGGGGGGGGGGGGGGGGGGGGGGAGGGGAGGTGGGGGCACGCTCCAGTTTCAGTTTGGGACAATAAACACATCTCTAAATGCATGAACTATTCGCTTAGTTTTCAATCAAACAGAATTGGGTCAAAGGTTGGCTCATCAAACCCTCCAGTGCATGTTGACAGGACCCTATTCACTGCAGTTCTTTTGACAAGACACTTTGGGTGGGAGTTTTTCACGGACTCTCAGGAAGATGTCTCTATCATGTTCCTCAGTCCCTCAGTTCGCATGCTGACTCACTAACCCCTCTCTCCCTCCCTCCCCCCTCCCTCATGTCGATGCTCCACAGTTTGGCTGCGGATGGCCTCGCTCTTACTCTTCTCTCTTTTTATTTTCCAGTCCACGGCTCTCGATAAAGAAAGTCAGATATTCAGTGCTAAACGCCAGCGCCATGTTGGAGGAGTTGGTACGGAGCAAACGTCTCAACTCTCTTCGACCGAAGATCCTTCCATGTCTGTGCCCATGACCTTTCCCCCTAACTCATCCGAGCCAGTTGAGCCCCCTGCTCTCCCCACACCTTGTGTGGCTGAGACCACTGCACCTCGAGGGACCATGTTTTCTTGAAGCACACTGTTAGGAACCCCTACATTAGCTATCGACTGCTATTTAAAAATGCACACATACACACCACCATCCCACCAACCTTTCCCAGCGCTGAATTAGAGAGCAGTCGCTTCCCAGCTTCGCTCTTTCCTCCCACTCCCTCCAATCGGGTTTCCGTGCTTCCCGCAGCACAGAAACTGCTCTGGTCAAGGTCACATATGACATCCTGACCATGTGTGACCAGGGCTCCCTCTGCCTCCTTGTCCTCCTCGACCTCTCCGCCGCCTTTGTGGACCACTGAATCCTCCTCCACCTCCTCTCCTCCCACTTCAACCTTCAGAGTTCTGTCCTTGACTGGTTCAGGTCCGACCTTTCACACCGCCTCCACTTTGTCTCTGCAATGGCTTCTCCTCCAGCCACCACACCATCTCTTTCGGTGTTCCTCAGGGCTCTGTCCTCGGTCCCCTCCTCTTCACCCTCTACATGCTCCCCCTTGGTGACATCATCCGCAGACATGGGGTAAATTTCCACATGTATGTGGATGACACCCAACTCTATCTCTCTGCATCCACCCTGAACTCCAGGACGACTGGCGTCCTGACCGACTGCCTGTCCGACATCAAGTCCTGGACTAGGGACAACTTTCTCCAACTGAACGTCAGCAAGACCGAGGCCCTCCTGATTGGCTCGCGCCAGTGCCTCCGCACCTCGGGCACTGGCAGCATCAGCCTCCACGGCTGCAAACTCAACCTCACTGAGCCAGTCAGGAACCTGGGTGTCTTGTCTGACCCTGAACTGTCCTTTCTCCCCCACATCCGCGCCATGACCGGCACTGCCTACCACCACCTCTGCAACATTGCCAGACTCCACCATTGCCTCACCCCTCAGGCTGCCGAAACCCTCACCCACGCATTCGTTACATCAAGGCTCGATTGTGGAAACGCCCTCCTGATCGGCCTTCCCAACTCTTCCCTTCACAAGCTGCAGGTCATCCAAAACTCTGCAGCTCGTGTACTCTCACGCACCAGGCTCTGTGACCCCATCACTCCCACCCTCGCCCAACACCACTGGCTCCCCATCCCCCAGAGGATCGGGTTCAAGATCCTTATCCTGACTTTCAGCCTCTCTGCCCCCATACTCTAGAACTCCATCCCACAGTCCCTTCGTCTTGCTTCCTCCCTTGCCTGCTTCAAGGCCGGTCTCAAGACCCTCCTCTTCGATCGTGCCTTCAGTCGCCCTCCCACCTCTCTGCCTTCCCTCACCCCTACCCCACCCCTCCCCCATGCTCGGGTCCTGACTGACTGTCTGACTGTCCAGCGCCTTGGGACGTCCTCCCGACTTGAGGGGCACTCTATAAATATAATTTTGTTGTTGTTGTTGTAGATTAAAACCAATTCACTCGTGAATTGTGCATTACTTTAGGGTCAAACGGTTGTGGGCACCTTTCAGAGAATAATCCCTCCCAGTTACGGTTAGAGTGAGAGAAATACAGAATCTGAGCAAACCGGTCTTGTCCTGTGTGTCTGACTCATCACAATTTTTCTTTCTCTACAACCATCACTCTCCTATTTTCTATGTTATTTTTCTTTCTGTCATTCCTGCATTGTTTTGCTCCTGTTGCACCTATTTTGTAACTGTTCGTCCCCACCACTCTGCAGCGCTCGAGCAAGGCTTTATTCCGTGTGAAGGGCGCTACACGAATGCAAGTTGTCGCTGTTGTTGTTCCTGGCTTTCAAACGTCTCCATT